CACTCCAAACTCCACTATGGCCAAGACCAAAGAGCTGTCAAAGGACACCAGAAACAAAATTGTAGACCTGCACCAGGCTGGGAAGACTGAATCTGCAATAGGTAAGCAGCTTGGTTTGAAGAAATCAACTGTGGGCTCCACGCAAGATCTCACCCCGTGGGGTCAAAATGATCACAAGAACGGTGAGCAAAAATCCCAGAACCACACGGGGGGACCTAGTGAATGACCTGCAGTAGCAAAGCCTACCATCAGTAACACACTACGCCGCCAGGGACTCAAATCCTGCAGTGCCAGACGTGTCCCCCTGCTTAAGCCAGTACATGTCCAGGCCCATCTGAAGTTTGCTAGAGTGCATTTGGATGATCCAGAAGAGGATTGGGAGAATGTCATATGTCAGATGAAACCAAAATATAACTTTTTGGTAAAAACTCAACTCGTCGTGTTTGGAGGACAAACAATGCTGAGTTGCATCCAAAGAACACCATACCTACTGTGAAGCATGGGGGTGGAAACATCATGCTTTGGGGCTGTTTTTCTGCAAAGGGACCAGGACGACTGATCTGTGTAAAGGAAAGAATGAATGGGGCCATGTATCGTGAGATTTTGAGTGAAAACCTCCTTCCATCAGCAAGGGCATTGAAGATGAAACGTGGCTGGGTCTTTCAGCATGACAATGATCCCAAACACACCGCCCGGGCAACGAAGGAGTGGCTTCGTAAGAAGCATTTCAAGGTCCTGGAGTGGCCTAGCCAGTCTCCAGATCTCAACCCCATAGAAAATCTTTGGAGGGAGTTGAAAGTCCGTGTTGCCCAGCGACAGCCCCAAAACATCACTGCTCTAGAGAAGATCTGCATGGAGGAATGGGCCAAAATACCAGCAACAGTGTGTGAAAACCTTGTGAAGACTTACAGAAAACGTTTGACCTGTGTCATTGCCAACAAAGGGTATATAACAAAGTATTGAGAAACTTTTGTTACTGACCAAATACTTATTTTCCACCATAATTTGCAAATAAATTCATTAAAAAATCCTACAATGTGATTTTCTGGATTTTTTTTCCTCATTTTGTCTGTCATAGTTGACGTGTACCTATGATGAAAATTACAGGCCTCATCTTTTTAAGTGGGAGAACATGCACAATTGGTGGCTGACTAAATACTTTTTTCCCCCACTGTAACTCTGGGTCTTCCATTGCTGTGGCGGTCCTCATAACATTTACATTTAAGTCATTTAGCAGACGCTCTTATCCAGAGCGACTTACAAATTGGTGCATTCAACTTAGGATAGCCAGTGGGACAAGACAACCACCCTTTTGGGGGGTAGAAGGATTACTGTTATACTATTCCAGGTATTCCTTAAAGAGGTAGGGTTTCAAGTGGTGAGAAGGGAAGGTGGTCAGTGACTCCGCTGTCCTGGCGTCGTGGGGGAGCTTGTTCCACCATTGGGGTGCCAGAGCAGCGAATAGCTTTGACTGGGCTGAGCGGGAACTGTGCTTCCGTAGAGGCTAGCAGGCCAGAGGTGGATGAACGTAGTGCCCTCGTTTGGGTGTAGGGTCTGATCAGAGCCTGAAGGTAAGGAGGTGCCGTTCCCCTCACAGCTCCGTAGGCAAGCATCATGGTCTTGTAGTAGATGCGAGCTTCAACTGGAAGCCAGTGGCGTGTGCGGAGGAGCGGGGTGACATGAGAGAACTTGGGAAGGTTGAACACCAGACGGGCTGCAGCGTTCTGGATAAATTGTAGGGGTTTAATGGCACAGGCAGGAAGCCCAGCCAACAGCGAGTTGCAGTAATCCAGACGGGAGATGACAAGTGCCTGGATTAGGACCTGTGCCAGTTTCATCATAGCACTTGATGGTTTTTGTGACTGCACTTGAAGAACCTTTCAAGGTTCTTGACATTGACTGACCTTCATGTCTTAAAGTAATGATGGACTGTCGTTTCTCTTTGCTTATTTGAGCTGTTCTTGCCATAATATGGACTTGGTCTTTTACCAAATAGGGATATCTTCTGTATACCCCCCTACCTTGTCGGAACACAACTGATTGGCTCAAATGCATTAAAAAGGAAAGAAATTCCACAAATTAACTTTTAAGAAGGCACACCTGTTAATTGAAATGCATTCCAGGTGACTACCTCATGAAGCTGGTTGAGAGAATGCCAAGAGTGTGCAAAGCTGTCATCAAGGCAAAGGGTGGCTATTTGAAGAATCTCAAATATAAAATATATTTTGATTTGTTTAACACTTTTTTGGTTATTACATGATTGCATAGTTATTTCATAGTTTTAATGTCTTCACTATTATTCTACAACGTAAAAAATTATAAAAATAAAGAAAAACCTTTGAATGAGTAGGTGTGTCCAAACTTTTGACTGGTAGTGTATGAATGACATTACTGAGAGATGCCGCTTATGAACCTGAATGTCATCTGGCTGAATAAATATATTTTGAGACTACTTGAGTGTGTGCGTGCGAAGACAAGAGCCAGACACAGGTGACTTTTTCCAACACATAAAAGGAAATATGTAAAAAAACTGTTCATACTGAAGAACTTTATCATTGTAGACTATTTTACACTGGGGCAATCATATCATCAGTCATATTTCATATACACGGTTATACAGATGCACAAACAACCTCCTATACCTTTGCAAAGCCTTCACCTTGCAAAACGTAGTGTAAATATCCTTTCCATATAGTTATACAGTTGCAGAATACAAATCAGCATTAATCTTTTGTTGATTAAACTTGATTGAAACAATACTCTCAGACAACACATTTCAGAAATGGCAAATCAGCAATCAGTTTTATCCCCTCTTGATTATCTTATACAACAAATCACAGAGACAATTTTGGTAGAACTGTATAATAACACCACGTAATAAAGCATTTATAATGGATTAGTAAATAGTTTATTCATCATTAATCCATTCATAAGATGTTTAATATAGGTCCTTATAAACCCTTACTAATCATTAGTTAAGTCTTTTTGTGTGGCCTCATCTAAAGTGTGGGCTATTTATACTTTATAACATTTTGAGTGCAGTATAATTTCTCACAAAAAGATGGACATGCCATTGGTAGAGACATTCCAGCAGTATCTGATGCTCCTTAATGTCTCACAATAGCTTAGAACATATCAATGGTTAAATAATAGGCATAAAACACAGGATGTTAAAATAAATATATTGAACATTATTCACAAAAACTGTTGTGAAACAACTGTTGCAAGGACTTGAGGAAGAGTTGTAATGTGAACGTTTTGCTAATGTTGTTAACCTCGCGAATGCAAACAGAGTTTATTTTTGCGAGGGTGGAGACTTTGCAAACCGCAACTCCCAATTCCTAACGTGTATGGACCCAGAACCTATTCACACAGCTGACCAAATTACACAATATTTAATAAATGGATGGATAAATAGATGGAATAAAATGTTCAATATATTTTATCTCCATTGTGTGCTTATTGTTTAATCATTGATATGTTCTAGGGGCCATTTTGAGACCTTAAGGAGCATCAGATACTGCTGGAATGTCTACCAATGGCATGTCCATCTTTTTGTGAGAAATTACACTGGTCACTCAAAACAAAGTATTTATAAAGTATAAATAGCCCACACTTTAGATGAGGCCACGCAAAAAGAGTTACTAATGATTAGTAAATGGTTTATAAGGACCTATTTTAAACAACTTATGAATGATCTTATGAATCATTAAATACTTTAAAAGTTGTTTATAAATGTATGAATAACTAGGTTAATAAGATTTACAAATGTGGGAGTAATGATTCATAAATGATGAATAAACTATTTACTAATCCATTAAATGCTTTATTACGTGGAGTTATTATAAAGTTCTACCACAAATGTGTTTACAAACACATCGATACCATGGTTTTTAGAAATGTCATCTGAAATGCCAAGGGATGTGCATAGGTGTCAAGGTTCTTTTTGTTGGTTATTTCCTGTTCCCCTTGCTTCCTCCCTTGGTCAAGTGGAGTCTTCCAGATGTGTGGAATGTTGGTTTTCAGTTGGGAGGATGTTACAGCAGGACACTGGGGGAACACGGACAGACGGCATGGAAGCTTGCGAATGTCCAACATGCATGGGACCTCATTCAAATCTCAAAAACATGTATGGATTCATTTAGAAGAGACAGTACCCCGTGTTTGTGTGAAGGGGAGAGGGGGGTGGCTAGGGTAATAACATGTACAGTCAAAATGAACCAAGATAAAACTGAACTACATGAATAATAAGAGTGACATTCGAGAAAGATTATGTGAATGAAGTAGACAATAATGGCTAATAAAGTAGAGGAGTAAAGGAGCAGATAAATAACGGTGTTGAGGATGAGATCCAGATAAAGGGAGGCTGTGATGTTTGGGTGTTTTTCTTCAGTCTGTCCAGAGAGAGAGGAAGAGAATACCCACAAACAGCATCTGTAGTGTAGGGAAATAACTACAACAGAGGGACAACTAAGAACTACAACATCCATGAGGGATGGGTTGATGGGGGCACAGACAGTCACATGATGTAGAAGGCTGCAGTGCACTACTGGGGAGGAGATACAGTACTGTCTCTTTAAAACAAACATCTACAAAAATGTCGCTTCCTAGATAATACAGACATGACAATACTTATTAGTTTTTTTCGTTTATACAACACTACGGCTAGGTAGTCTGTAAGGGCAAAGTCTGATTGGCTGCTACAAGTCATGTGCAGTACAGAGGATTTTGATTGGCTGCTGAAGGTCTATGTGCAGTACACAGAGGTTTCTGATTGGTTGAGGTGCTTTTCCTTTCCGAAGGAATGATGGGAGTTTTCGCAAAAATGCATCGCCAGGGAGAAAGGGAGGGGGGAGAAGAGGGAGGAGCGAAAGAGAGGAGTCATTGGAGGGGAGGGGGGAGGGTGTCTATACAGGTACAGTGGACCCGGTAAGACACAGAGGGGAGGAGAGGAGGAGAAAGCAGAGGAGGAGAGAAGAGCTATGTGTTCCTTCATATCCTCAGTAGACCCAGGACACAGGGACCCACTGTGCAGTGGTACAGACCAGGTCTATAGCCTCCTCTAGGTGTCTGATGGTCTCGTCTATCTCGTTGTTGATTATGGTCTGGTCAAAATAATGGGCATAGGTCTTCTGAAGAATCTCTGACTCCTTCTGAAGACGCTGCAATGACTCGTCCTACAGAGAGAGAGAGAGAAAGGGGAGGAGAGAAACATAATGAGACAGAGACAGATGTCTTACCAATAAAGCACCATTCAATTAAACTGACAGAGAAAGAGGGAGGATATAGAGTGGATGGGTAGGGATTCAGGACAGTGCTTTGCTAGGCCTGGTGTTAAAGAAGGAATAGTAACCTTCACTCAGAGAAAGGAGTGAGCTGGTTTACTACGGTAACATACTATACAACACAATAGAGCACTACTGACCATGGCCAGCGTTTTCTCCACTCATACTTACTGGCAGCTTCCTGCACCACCTGGGGAGCTGAGAGCCATGCAACGGAACGCAAGACAAACAGAAAAACTGAATCTCACACACAGCATGCAAAATAAATGAATGAAGCAAGGGATGAGAGAAGAAAATGGAGGAGTGCAGAAAAAAGAAGAGTGGCTACAGCTGCAGACCGTTCCATTATTAGAACAAAAGGTTGACAATGTGTGTGTATGTCTTACCTCGTTAATGCCAGGGGTGATGGTTGGCGCGGCGATGAAAACAACGTAGGGAGCAAACTCTGCTGTCCGCAGGACCTTCAGAGCCTAATGGAGAACAGGTTACAGGTCAGCTGGGCTGTGTGTTTGTGATTGTGTATTATGCCTGAGAAGACCCTCGGCGTTCACAAGCGGAAAATACACCCTCCCCCCCCCACCTGTGGCTCTACATCCAGTATGGAGATGAGTCCCTGCTCGTGGATCTGGCGGATTGTCTCTAGCCGCGTGCCGTACATGGCGTCCTCGTGACTACCGTACTCCAGGTAGTCATTGTTACTGATGTCCTGCATCATCTGGTCATGTGACACAAAGTAGTAGTTCTTCCCGTTCTCCTCGTCCTTCTTAGGAAGTCTGGTCGTATCTGGGGGAGGGAAAAAGGGAGGAAGAGGGGGGTCGGGGGGTTGAGTAAGAACGATAATCACAATGGATGTTCAAAGTGAGTGAGTGCGTGAGTCAGTGAATGTATCGTCCATGAAATGGGGTAGGCAAATCTGTGTGTGTGTGTGTCTTACGTGGGATGGGGTAGGCGAATCTGTGTGTGTGTGTGTCTTACGTGGGATGGGGTAGGCGAATCTGTGTGTGTGTGTGTCTTACGTGGGATGGGGTAGGCGAATCTGTGTGTGTGTGTGTGTCTTACGTGGGATGGGGTAGGCGAATCTGTGTGTGTGTGTGTCTTACGTGGGATGGGGTAGGCGAATCTGTGTGTGTGTGTGTGTCTTACGTGGGATGGGGTAGGCGAATCTGTGTGTGTGTGTGTCTTACGTGGGATGGGGTAGGCGAATCTGTGTGTGTGTGTGTCTTACGTGGGATGGGGTAGGCGAATCTGTGTGTGTGTGTGTCTTACGTGGGATGGGGTAGGCGAATCTGTGTGTGTCTTACGTGGGATGGGGTAGGCAAATCTGTGTGTGTGTGTGTCTTACGTGGGATGGGGTAGGCGAATCTGTGTGTGTGTGTGTCTTACGTGGGATGGGGTAGGCGAATCTGTGTGTGTGTGTGTCTTACGTGGGATGGGGTAGGCGAATCTGTGTGCGTGTGTGTGTGTCTTACGTGGGATGGGGTAGGCGAATCTGTGTGTGTCTTACGTGGGATGGGGTAGGCGAATCTGTGTGTGTGTGTGTCTTACGTGGGATGGGGTAGGCGAATCTGTGTGCGTGTGTGTCTTACGTGGGATGGGGTAGGCGAATCTGTCAGGGTGTTTTGTGATGAGTGTGTTCTTGATGTGTCTTCTGCCCACTCCATGGGCACCTTTGGAAGAGAGAGCAGTCAGTCAGAACGCTATACGAGCACACTACCTAGTACCGTTTGCCAATACATCATAACCCTCTATAGTATGCTAGTATGGATACTTGTACTTACCTAACAAGACTAGTGTTTTCCTCTTGAACGCAGGCAGTTTCACAACCTCTTCATACGTGACGAGATCTAGTTGGTCGAATACTGGAAAAAGAGGACGGAGGAAAGAGAGCGGGATAGTGAGATACTGTGAAGGAGAGGAGAGGTGCAGACAGACATCCATAGTAGTTCACTGGGAGAACACAGGACCCTAACAGTGAGGTGGCGCTATGGGACAGAGAGAATGCCTGTGACAGTTAGTTGTTAATGGAGAAAATTATAGCCTGGGTACATGACTGTTTCAACATTCAACAACACTATATCAACATCTGGGAATGACAAGGACAAGGTGGCTAAAAGAGAAACAGACTAGCACCCAGGCTAGCCATGAGATGAAGGGGTAGACATATTGTCTCTGACAGTTGGGAGATAATGAACAATGAGGAAATGAACTATGATGTTACAATAATAGATAGAGCCTGAACTTCTCCTTGGAGTAGTATAAGTTCAATGGCGTGTATGTCCTTAAACCTGACACCATTAAATCAAATAACTAAATCTGAGGAGTTTTTTATCCTAACCCAGGTTAATGCCCTAATCAAATGAGACGAAGGAGAGAGATTTGGGATAAGACTGTTTACATGTGGCAAACAGAGAGGGAGAATATTCTCAATGTTTTCCTTCTAGTCTGAGGCTACACAGATGTGACCGTTGTAGCTGTTAGGGTAATACTGCAGAGCTGGTGAACGACCATTATGTGTAAGCGAATAGCGCAGTGATACCACAATGTATGTGTGTGTGTTACGTTTTTACATTTTTTAAAATAAACAATGGGATAGATGGATGGACAGATGGAAGGGGGTGAGCTGAATGAGATGGAGGAGAGAACAAAGCACAGTAGGACACAGTACTGGACACTCCTGGGAGTCTGTGCAGAACACAGCAAAGAGCATGTGTCCTTACCCTACAGTGGAGGGTACTGCACACAGGGTACTGCTAATTTCACCTCTACTGTAACATGAACCTAACAGCTGTGTGTGTGTGGCTGACATGGGAAATACAACACCAGGAGCACCATGTACTCTCTCTGGAATATAAGAGTTTCTCCTGCTTTCGCTCCACTCCTTTTTCTTTTATCCTTGCTCTTTCATCCCTCTCTCTCGCTATCTATCTCTCGCTCTATCTCTCTCTAATGGCTGAGGATGGCTCACTCTCTCCTGCTTCCTGCTTTCTCTGCTGCTCTGTTCTTATTGGCTGGCATGTGTCCTTGAACTTAGGCCGACCTATAACCTTGTGCGCAATGTGTCACATTCTGAGAAAGATATTCAGGGATATTAAATGGGGACGCTTCCCTTGGGCAGATGTACCATGTTAGAATACAACTGACTAGATCTGAAACACACAACACCAAAATAAACAAAATATATGGGTGAGGATGAAAACCAAAAAAACAAGCTATGTTCTTTCCGTTTTGTGCTGGATCTCTGTTGCTCTGACGAGCAAACAGAAACAAAATGGAAACATTGGGAGTGACACCTGGTCAACTAAAGGGTTAATAATAACGCAAATAAAAAGAGATAGAGAGAGGGACAGAGAGAGAAACAGAGTGAAAGAGAGTGAAAGAGAAACAGACCAAACCAAAAGAGGCGTTAGCTAGTCAGATACTTGTCACTGGTTGTTACTTACATGCAGAGAGGCCATTTGAGGGGGACAGCGTGAGAGATGGACAGGGTCATAACATGGTTCAGTTACACAACAATACAGTAGTTACTATACATACAGCAATACAACACTGCAGCAGCAAAGCGCTGATGCGCTGACTGCTTTAAATTAGTCACCCAACGGAGTAGGACGAAGTTGCTCATAGACAATGATCTAGGGTCAGTATTGTATTTTTCCCCTTAATGGTTAAGGTTAGGATTTGGGCAGGTTATATTGACCTGAGATCTGTGTCTAAAGGGCAACTTCTACCCAGAGCACCACACTCTGGCCTCTTGAGGAGGGAAAGTAGGAAATATGCATCTTTATAGAATTAGAATGGGCCTAGAGTCATAGGCCTTGTACTGTGAACATGCTGCTAGCTATCCACCACATCATTTCTCATCCTCTTAGTAACTGTACCTGAGGAGAATGAGACTACATTCAAAATCAGACTATGTGTCATGCAAAAAAACTCAGAAAGACTCAGATATGAGTCAGATATGAATGCTTAGAGCAAGCAAAAAATCTAAAGCAAAATAATAGCATGCTTTGCTGTTACTTGGAGAAGCAATATGAACATTAACAGTTGGTTCTTTACACATACAGCTTGCATGCATCTCTGGTATCATGCGCTTGTAAGTTACAGATGCACAAAGATAATGCCCCCAAAACATTCTAACCTCTCACCATTACCAATAACAGGAGAGGTTAGAATTTTGGGGGTGAGGGGGTTGATATTTTCTCTTTCTCACTCATTATTATTCACGATTCATTCATGATTATCTGAAATTATGGTAGCATACACATTAATGTAAAAGGGTTCAGAAACATATTCTATTCTTATTTACAATAAAAGTGCCTCCAAAATGACAATACATGATTTACCATTCATTTTTATTGGGCACAACATAATCCGAAACACAACCAAAACAAACAGCAAATGCATCCAACAAGTGTGTAGCTTGATGTAGTCATTGCGTGCTAGGAATATGGGACCAAATACTAAACTTTTGACAACATTTATTACACTATATGTAAATACTTATGACACCTTCAAATAGGAAGACTAGATACATGAAAGCACTTTATGTATGGAAATTCCCTCAAAGAAAAGGTCGTCCTGTTGCCTCATATAAAACATTTGATCTCAAATCCAAAATGTTGTAGTATATAGCCAAATTAAAAGGTTTAGCTTCACTGTCCAAATAAATACGTATGGGAGTATAAGTCAAGACCTAGATCATTGACCCAGCTACATTCATCTGTGTAAGCCTGAGTTGTTCCGAGAGTGCCCAGGCTTCACCATCATTTGAAACCCAGCTAAAGGACAAAGAATGAGCAGTCATGAAACGTAATGTGGGGCAGGTAGGTCAGGGCTGTGTCTATCTGCAATAGACAGTTCATGCTGCCAACTACGCTGGGGGCCCTGATACTTCTCTCTCAACCCATCTCCTCCCAGCTCTATAGCTCGACTTCCAGGCTCTCTACTTCCCCAGTACCTCCCCTAACCCTCTCTTTCCTTCTCCCAACCCCTCTTAACTCTGCAAGTCCTCTCCATGGCCCCTTCCCTTCCACCTCCTTCTCACCCTCCCTCCCCCTCTTACTGGTTACTGGTGTCATTTGAGCCGCTCCAGTCCTAGCACAGACACACATGGCAGTGTCAGTTTCTCCTGCACATTGACCATGGCCCGGTCTGTTGAGACAGCCACCTTGAGATCACAGACACCCGAGATCCACAGACACGTTTGCTTCCCTCTACATCTCACACACTGTGCTCAACTATCCATAGGAAACAAGAGGCTTTGGTGAAGACACAAAGTAGGTTTGAGGCTTTCAATGTTGGCTACTGTCTTTAATGTGGTGAGCTGTCTGTGTCTAAGGCACTTTGGAACACACTCTCAATCCCAAACACTCTCACACATGTATATTCACATGCAAACAAGACATTCATGTGCATGCACACCACGAGGCTGCTGATGGGAGGACGGCTCATAATAATGGCCGGAACGGAGCAAATCAAATGGCATCAAACACATGGAAACCATGTGTTTGATGTATTTGATACCATTCCACTTAACATTTACATTACATTTACATTTTAGTCATTTAGCAGACGCTCTTATCCAGAGCGACTTAAGCCATTACCACGAGCCCATCCTCCCCAATTAAGGTGCCACCAACCTCCTGTGATGCACACTCAGATACACGTGCAGCACACACACACACTCATACTTTACATGCCAACTTGATAACTGCACACTCACCCTTATATTTAAGCTTGCCCTTGTGCCCTAGCACCAGGTCTCACTGCTATGACTATGTCACTGGAGCCAGCAGAGGTTACAAGGTTCTGTTACCTGAACTCCCTGCTCTCCATGCCCTCCCTGCCCCCAGTTTCCCTCCCTCTCCCTCATACCTTGCCCACCCCACCCTCTCCCTCCCCCTCATTCTCTGCCCACCCCTCCCTCTCCCTAACCTTTAATTCCCTGCCCACCTCACCCTCTCCCTCATTCCTTGACCACCACTCCCTCTCCCTCATACCCCCATGCCACCTTCTCACACACGTGAGACCCTCACATTCCATGCAGTAACAGCAGAGGAACATTTTGAGTGGATGTGAGTGTGTGTGTATGTGTACCTGCGTTGTGTTTGGCCAGGTACTTGTCTTTGTACTGCTTCTTCTTCTTGCCAAACCAGGTACAACTGGCCTGCTGCTCCTGCTTGGTCTTCTCCATGGCGATACACGCCACACGCCTGCAAACATGGCGGGAAATACACCCAATAAAACTAAATCATCTGCTCAAACATGCAAGGCTTTGTTTGGGTTCTTCGAGGGTGCGTTCTGGGGGCTTAGATCGGGTTCTCTCTAAATATGGGTTCTGTGTGTTAAATTACTCTACATTACTCTAAAGGCTCTAGCTTGTCAGGTCTGGAGCTGGTTTCTAAGTCTGAATGATTCTCTAGATCTTGATGGAGATCTGGGTTCTATCACGTCGTGTGTGTGTCTACTCAGTGTGTGTGTGTGTCTCCTCACCACTCCTGGAGTTCTGGTGAGGGTATGAGCCCTGCAGTTCCATTTTTGGTGTTCTCCAGTTTGCCCTGCCACCAGTTGTGGTCGTCTTTACTGATGATCTGGATGATGTCACCGACCCGGAAGGGAATCCCGGCCTCCTTGCATGGGATGAGGTCATCTCTGGAGGGGTCATACTCAAACTGGGCCCTCACATAGATCTGAGACACACAGACAGGGGTAAGAGGTTAGAGTCACTGATGAGGTAGGGGTGAGAGAAAGAGAAAGAGAGAGAGAGAGGGAGAGGGAGGGAGGTAGAGAGGGCTAGGGAGATACAGAGAGAGAGACAGCGAGAGAGAGCAGTTGTTGGGCGTGTGGCTGTACAGGTTGGAAACCTGGAGAGGGAGGAGTGGCGTGTGGCTGTACAGACTAATGGGTTGCCAGATTGGAGACCTTTCCCTATGGGTAGTTGTACCTAAATATAATATAATAATAATATAATAAAATAATATGCCATTTAGCAGACGCTTTTATCCAAAGCGACTTACAGTCGTGCGTGCATACATTTTTTGTGTATGGGTGGTCCCGGGGATCGAACCCACTACCTTGGCGTTACAAGCGCCGTGCTCTACCAGCTGAGCTACAGAGTACCTCACAGGGGACTAAATATATAAATAGCCGAGTGCTGTAAATGAGCTTCTCTCTACGGTTGCCAGGTTGGACACCTGTCCCTATGGGCTGTGGGTAGTAGTGTGCATATATCTCATAGGAGAATAATACAAAACATAAGTTGTGGTATAAATGAGCCTCACTCTTCAGAGGCAGTATACTGATACAGTGGGGAGAACAAGTATTTGATACACTGCCGATTTTGCAGGTTTTCCTACTTACAAAGCATGTAGAGGTCTGTAATTTTTTATCATAGGTACACTTCAACTGTGAGAGACGGAATCTAAAACAAAAATCCAGAAAATCACATTGTATGATTTTTAAGTAATTAATTTGCATTTTATTGCATGACATAAGTATTTTATCACCTACCAACCAGTAAGAATTCCGGCTCTCACAGACCTGTTAGTTTTTCTTTAAGAAACCCTCCTGTTCTCCACTCATTACCTGTATTAACTGCACCTGTTTGAACTCGTTACCTGTATAAAAGACACCTGTCCACACACTCAATCAAACAGACTCCAACCTCTCCACAATGGCCAAGACCAGAGAGCTGTGTAAGGACATCAGGGATAAAATTGTAGACCTGCACAAGGCTGGGATAGGCTACAGGACAATAGGCAAGCAGCTTGGTGAGAAGGCAACAACTGTTGGCGCAATTATTAGAAAATGGAAGAAGTTCAAGATGACGGTCAATCACCCTCGGTCTGGGGCTCCATGCAAGATCTCACCTCGTGGGGCATCAATAATCATAAGGAAGGTGAGGGATCAGCCCAGAACTACACGGCAGGACCTGGTCAATGACCTGAAGAGAGCTGGGACCACAGTCTCAAAGAAAACCATTAGTAACACACTACACCGTCATGGATTAAAATCCTGCAGCGCACGCAAGGTCCCCCTGCTCAAGCCAGCGCATGTCCAGGCCCGTCTGAAGTTTGCCATTGACCATCTGGATGATCCAGAGGAGGAATGGGAGAAGGTCATGTGGTCTGATGAGACAAAAATAGAGCTTTTTGGTCTAAACTCCATTCGCCGTGTTTGGAGGAAAAAGAAGGATGAGTACAACCCCGAGAACACCATCCCAACCGTGAAGCATGGAGGTGGAAACATCATTCTTTGGGGATGCTTTTCTGCAAAGGGGACAGGACGACTGCACCGTATTGAGGGGAGGATGGATGGGGCCATGTATCGCGAGATCTTGGCCAACAACCTCCTTCCCTCAGTAAGAGCATTGAAGATGGGTCGTGGCTGGGTCTTCCAGCATGACAACGACCCGAAACACACAGCCAGGGCAACTAAGGAGTGGCTCCGTAAGAAGCATCTCAAGGTCCTGGAGTGGCCTAGCCAGTCTCCAGACCTGAACCCAATAGAAAATCTTTGGAGGGAGCTGAAAGTCCGTATTGCCCAGCGACAGCCCCGAAACCTGAAGGATCTGGAGAAGGTCTGTATGGAGGAGTGGGCCAAAAAAATACCTGCTGCAGTGTGTGCAAACCTGGTCAAGACCTACAGGAAACGTATGATCTCTGTAATTCCAAACAAAGGTTTCTGTACCAAATATGAAGTTCTGCTTTTCTGATGTATCAAATACTTATGTCATGCAATAAAATGCAAATTAATTACTTAAAAATCATACAATGTGATTTTCTGGATTTCGTCTCTCACAGTTGAAGTGTACCTATGATAAAAATTACAGACCTCTACATGCTTTGTAAGTAGGAAAACCTGCAAAATCGGCAGTGTATCAAATACTTGTTCTCCCCACTGTATACAGTGCCTTCAGAAGGTATTCACACCTCTTGACTTTTTCCACATTTTGTTGTGTTACAGAAGGAATTTAAAATTGATTAAATCGAGATTTTGTGTCACTGGCCTACACACAATACCCAATAATGTCAAAGTGGATTTTAATTAATTAAAAATGAAAAGCTGAAATGTCTTGAGTCAATAAGTATTCAACCCTTTGTTATGGCAAGCCAAAATAAGTTCAGGATTAAAAAGTTGCTTAACAAGTCACATAATAACTTGCATGGACTCACTTTGTGTGCAATAATAGTGTTTAACATAATTTTTGAATGACTCTCTCATCTCACGGCAGATCCTGGACAACACATTACTGAGTACCATTCTCCATATTTTCAAGCATAGTGGTGGCTGCATCATGTTATGGGTATGCTTGTAATTGTTAAAGAATAGGTAGTTTTTCAGGACTTAAAAGACACGGAATTGAGCTAAGCACAGGCAAAATCTTAGAGGAAAACCTGGTTCACCTTGCAGCCAAATTTACACTGGAGCTGCTTACCAAGAAGACAGTGAACGTTCCAGAGTTACAGTTTTGACTTAAATCTACTTGAAAATGTATGGCAAAACCTGAAAATGGTTGTCTAGCAATGATCAACAACCAATTTGATGAATTTTGAAAATAATAATGGACAAATGTTACACAATCCACGTGTGGGAAGCTCTTAGAGACTTTACCCAGAAAGACTCACAGGTGTAATCGCTGCCAAAGGTGCTGCTACAAAGTATTGTGAATAATTATGTAAATGAGATATTTCTGTATTTCATTTTCAATACATTTGCAAAAATTTCTAAAAACATGTCTTAATTTGTCATTATGGGGTATTGTGTGTAGATGGGTGAGAAAAAAATATATTTAATCCATTTTTAATTCAGACTGTAACACAACAAAATGTGGAATAAGTCTGAAGGCACTGTAAATGGCACAGGGATCGTTAACACAGGGTTGTCTCTTTAGAATCCACCATAGGTCTTGTTAAATCACTATCTACATTTTCTGTATCACTGACTGATTTAGCACACCTTTATGATCTGAGTACCAGTCTTGTGTTGCCATTCTTGTCTGTTAAAGATGTAGGAGGCAATATGTTGATTTCATGTTTTTTTCTCAGAGAATTGTATTGAGACCTCATGATAATACATTTTGAATACAGTTTGAATATACTTGTTACAATAATCCAAACAGTATGGTTTTGCATTGTAGTTTCAGTGGTCTTAGTCTAAGTTAGATTGTACTGTATGGGATGTTATTTTGGTTACACACTATTGCTAATACGGTCATCTAAAGGAATATCTATGGTTTAACCATAGAGATAAAACATTTCCTAAGATGTCTGCTGTTTTATCTCTATGGTTTAGCACTATGGAGGCTACATTATATCTTACCTTGATGGACATTTTATCCTTGATTGGAGGTCTGGGTACGACCATCTAGGATGTGAAAGCATCACACACATCATGCAGTAAAACGACTACGGAGTGTCTACACACACAGTATGGTGAGCAGAGCGCGGTGGAGATGGAGAACGTTAAGTGTTAACCCTACTATGGTGATGGTGGTGGGAGGGGATTGACATGGATGATGCCACTTCAGTGTTGGAGACCAATTCAACTTTAGTTCAGTTCATTGAGATTAATTGAAGTTTTCATTTCATGAATAGCCTGTTGCTGTCGATGAGAATTGTACAATTCATAAATAAAAAGTTCAACTCATCCCCTGAAATGGAGTTTAAATGGAATTGACCCCAACCCTGGTTATGATGAAGAGACAGGCCCGTTGGAATGCTTTTTAACATGCATTTCTTCCTTCTTCCTGCCTTCATTTTAAAAGATCTGAAATGACTGGATTGGTGAAAGACATGGAAGAGCTTTAACCTATCCAACACTGTCAGATCAGTGATTGCTGATCAAGGAAGAGAGGTAGAATGCATTCAATATTCCAACAGGGATCCAAAACTATGTTATGGGTTTCAAACATAATGGATGGTCATAATTGATGATTATGTCACATAGGGATGGGCGAGATTATAGGAGGCTTGGGTGGGTGTCTATGGTCATGGCTAATGGCTGTATTCGCCATACGACCAATGAATTAAGTGCCACATTTTAATGTTATTTAACAAAGCTTTTTGTATTATAATAATGACTTTTAAATAATGTATTTTATGCTAATCTTTATCAAGGGTGCCAATAATTATGGACCTGACTGTATATTTGAAGTCTCCTCTGAAGTCTAGTTCCATTCAAATGTATCATCCTTTCCAAAGAGAACATTTTCTCTACCACAGGGGAGTTCAACTCAGGGTTATGGGACCAGGTGGAATCTTTCAAAATCTTAATAATAACAACTCTGCAAAAATCGGATCGGATTGAATCAATTTGAATTCAGCCTGTGCTCTTTTTAGGTCAGACATGTCTGAGCAGCTGGAGCAGATTTGGAGTCTAATGTGTTTTGGATTGAGGCCAATATCCAGTAGTGTATCTTTGGGTGAGGTCATAGCTTACAGTAGCTCTACATATTATCCACTATTCAGTCTAACAGACACTGTCCTTTAAAAATATATATTTTGGGGGGTATTTTATTGTTTTACAGACAGTAAATGTCGGAATGTAGAGGGGTAGACAGATACAGAGGGAGACTGAGATAAAGGGCTTAGACGGGATTCGTACCCATGTCACCTGGTGTATATGTGATCCGGAGTCTGGTGGGCTAACCACTACGCCAGACTCTGACACAGCAGGCACTATCCTGCTCTAAACACATGCAGGAACAGCTTGGAGATCAGTCTGTAGCCACAGAATATTAACAACATTGTAAGTGAACAGAGTGTACTCATTTGTGTTGACCTTGGCAATTACTCAATGGAGGGCAGCTGGGGGCTGGTGAGCATGTGAACTCGCAAGCACACTGCGCGTGTGCACATATGCATAAGCACACACAGACACACACACACACACACAGACAGACACACACAGACACACGTGTAGACGTTGAATGAGGGGGAAGGGATGGAGGGGTTGTGAGTTACAGTTCAGTGTGTGTATGTGTGTGTGTATGTGTTTGTTTGTTTTACGGGGCAGAGAGCGCTGGTATTCACCTGTCGACCCTTGGGTTGGATGGTAGACGGCAGATCCTGCAGAGAAAACCCCACCAGTGACAGAGAGAGTTTACACCAGAGAGAGGCAGGTAAACAACCATAACAATGTGTACAGAACACAACAAAACACACAGACATGAACATTCCCTTCCCTCCTGTCAAAGTTTTAAAGAGAGCGAGGGTACAGTCAAACAGAGTTGCGATTTAATGAGTGTTAGAGCAGAGCTTCAGCAGTCTCTCTCGCTCTCTCTCTCTCTCTCACACACACACTCTCAGAGAGCGAGGAAGCAGAAAGCAAGCAAAGCAGCTTCAATACCAAGGTGTACAGCTGGTAGGTAGGTAATTTAGTTCGTAGTTAGGTAGGTAAGAGGTAGATAAGTTAGTAAGTAAGTGGGTAAATCAGATGTAGCTAGGTAGCTGGGTTAGTAGGTAGGTAGGTAGGTAAGTAAGTAGGTAGGTAAGTAGGTCTAGCAGTGGATAAGGTTGGAGGTAGTTGTATAGGAACAGAGTTGTAAAGGACCTGAGTCTTTTCTGTGACTGACTGTGTGAGTATTCCCAGTTCCTCTGTGTACTAAAGGGCTGTCAGCAGAAAGGCACAGCAAATAAGCAGCATTTTTACAGCACATGGCAGAGTTTTTCAGCACACCAATTTGTAAACAGAGATATCGGAAATGTGGCTATAGTCAAAGGTTGGTCTGAACAGCCAGTATCATAACTTAATGTGATATACAACTGAAAATAAAAGAAAAATAAGTAAAATATGGGACAGGGGGTTTAATCAAACTGGAAAAATATATACATTATAATGATAACAGACAACAGCTGTGGGAGAGAGTGAAAGGTCTGCGTTGGTCGACTTGAGGGAGAAGGGGGCAGTTTGGGTGTTTGGTGGGTGTTTAGGGGTTGGGGTTCTTACCAAGATAGAACTGTTAACACTGGAGTGGCCAGTGCCATTGGCAGGGGATTGCCTGGAGGTGGAGGGGGACTCTCTCTGTAACAAGACACACAGGTCAGACACACACACTCACAAACTTGCGCACGCACGTGCGCGCAGGGGCTTCATGCACCCATTATTTTAGAGGGGACACGAAGTACGTGAGGATGGAGGGGGGTGGTCTGGATTTAGCATGTATATTTTTCTGCATAGGTCATCTAAGCATACCACTTTACCTGTTCACACTGATTCTTTAAGAACTTTTATGCCTTAGGAGTTTAAAATAAAACATATATTTGTCACATGCTTCATAAACAACAGGTGTAGTAGGCTAAATTATGTATGTCTATGGTGTATGTACTATGTAGGCACCTGAGAGGAGCCATAAAGGAGACTAGGCATCTACCACCCCACTATCACTACCAGATTAGGGGGAGGGGGGATGGGGGCAATTTAGCCTGTTTCTTGTTCTGAAATCCTCATCACCCACTAATTAACTTCTCATTTTTGCAGATTTAGTGTTTGAGCAAGTGATGTATCAATATTTATTGTTTAAAAATTAGCTATTTATTTTACAGTTTGGAAGTTTTTACAGAGTGATCTTCTCGTCTCCTCTCACTTCGGCCATTGCAAAAGTGATTGCTGTCCTCGTTATGAAATTATCAAGCAAAACTACCAAAACTATTGCTGATGGTGAACCTGAACTCAACTAATAAAGCCTAATATCACGCTAGCCATTTTAGCATTTGAATGCTGAAGGTGTCGTACAGATGTGCAAGATCTGGAACAGCGCGTTGGTCAGCGTGTGAAGCTGGGCACAGTGAGGCTACTGATATTACCTGGGGTTGTTTGGCATGAAAAATGACTTGTAGATCAATGACTGTCAACCCAGTTACATGCAGTTCGACACTGAAGGAGAGAGGACGCATCAGTTGTCACAAAATATGAGGTATTTTTGGGAAGGTAAAAATTATGTAATATTTGTGAACCGCCGATTCATAACGTTTGAATCGATTTTCTGACCGATGCATGCTACATTTGGATCGGTCTGGTGTCCACCGACTGTTGCACTTGTATCTTAAACATTTGAATCTGGGACCAATGCGTATCAACAAATCGTTACATCCCTACCACACTGGTATATAGTATCATAACCCAAGAATTAAAGCCATTTTCCAGCAGGCATGCCAGCTAAAATAGTTAGACAAGCTACTCTAACTTGGGATAGGGCTGTGGCGGTCATGAAATTCTGTCAGCTGGTTATTGTCAGGCAAAATACTGCAGGTCTCACGGTAATTGACCATTAATTAACATATGCAGGTTTAGCATCTCCAGGCCTCCACATACAAGCTGCTGATGAGCGCCTTTGAAACATCTACATTTAAAAAAGTCTAATAAATCAATTTAATTTACACCATCACAATAAATCCATTATGTATTTTAGTCAAGTCAAAAGAAACATTATAATATCAAGAGAATGTGTTTCAGAACAGAATATGAGTTGGCCTACTGTAGGCCTATGTTATCTGGCTATGCATGTAAGTCCCATGCCATTCATTTATTGTATCTGATTTTATAGTAAGAAGAATATAATTGAATTTAGCTGAATAAAATTGAAAGGATATTTTTCCAATTAAAGAGCGAGTGCACATATGAAGTGGCTATGTTGAGCGTAAAAGTGATCATTTGAAACAGGTCCTATATGCTAGATTTAGAGTTATTCGGCAACTTTAGTTGTGAATGATACAAACCTTAGAATATCTTACAAAATCAAAACATATACAGTGCATTCGGAAAGTATTCAGACCCCTTCCCTTTTTCCACATTTTGTTACGTTACAGCCTTATTCTAAAATTGATTAAATACAATTTTTTCCTCAACAATGTACACACAACACCCCATAATGACAAAGCGAAAACAGGCTTTGTCATTATGTAAAAATAAAAAACTGAAATACCTTATTTACATAAACATTCTGACCCTTTGCTATGAGACTTGAAATTGAGCTCAGGTGTATCCAGTTTCCATTGATCATCCTTGAGATGTTTCTAAAACTTGATTGGACTCCACCTGTAGTCAATTCAATTGATTGGACATGATTTGGCACACCTGTCTATATAAGGTCCCACAGTTGACAGTGCATGTCAGAGCAAAAACCAAGCCATGAGGTCGAAGGAATTGTCCGTAGAGCTTCGAGACAGGATTGTGTCGAGGCACAGATTTCTGCAGCATTGAAAGTCCCCAAGAACACAGTGGCCTACATCATTCTTAAATGGAAGAAGTTTGGATCAACCAAGACTCTTCCTAGAGCTGGCCGCCCGGCCAAACTGAGTAATCGGGGGACAAGGGCCTTGGTCAGGGAGGTAGCCAAGAACCCAATGGTCACTCTGACAGAGTTTCAGAGTTCCTCTGTGGAGATGGGAGAACCTTACAGAAGGACAACTATCTCTGCAGCACTCCACCAATCAGGCCTTTATGGTAGCGTGGCCAGACGGAAGCCACTCCTCAGTAAAAGGCACATGACAGCCAACTTGGAGTTTGTTAAAAGGCATCTAAAGGACTCTCAGACCATGAGAAACAAGATTCTCTGGTCTGATGAAACCAAGATTGAACTCTTTGGCCTGAATGCCAAATGTCATGTCTGGAAGAAACCTGGCTCCATCCCTACGGTGAAGCATGGTGGTGGCAGTATCATCCTGGGGGGATGTTTTTCAGCGGCAGGGACTGGTAGACTAGTCAGGATCGAGGGAAAGATGAATGGAGCAAAGTACATCTCTGGAGAGACCTGAAAATAGCTGTGCAGCGACGCTCCCCATCCAACCTGACAGAGCTTGAGAGGATCTACAGAGAAGAATGGGAGAAACAGGTGTGCCAAGCTTGTAGCGTCATACCCAAGAAGACTCAAGGCTGTAATCGCTGCCAAAGGTGCTTCAACAAAGTACTGAGTAAAGGGTCTGAATACTTATGTAAATGTGATATTTCCGTTTTTTATTTTTAATAAATGTGCAAACATTTATAAAAACCTGTTTTGTCATTATGGGGTATTGTGTGTAGATTGATGAAGGGAAAAAAACAATTTAATCAATTTTGGAATAAGGCTGTAACGTAACAAAATGTGGAAAAAGTCAAGGGGTCTGAATACTTTGCATGGTGCAAATATAAGCTATTGATGATTTGAGAAAGTAGCAAAAAAAGCTTGCACTCTGTTCCTTGCCTCAGGTTGCACAGCTCTTCTCTCATCAAAGCTTGCACTCTGTTCCTTGCCTCAGGTTGCACAGCTCTTCTCTCATCAAAGCTTGCACTCTGTTCCTTGCCTCAGGTTGCACAGCTCTTCTCTCATCAAGTGATCATATTTTCACCCATCAGACTATTTTGAATTTAATCTGGTCTTTACTAATATGGAAAATTAGTTTAGATTTAGAACAGCCCATTATCAAATGGGCAGGAACATGGGAAAAAAACATGTCATCTGTATGCCTTCAAATAGCCTAGTGAATGGAGGCTGCTGCTTTCCTGCCGGCCCGTTTTGTAGGCTACTTCGGTTTTATAACAGATCATGTGCTTTATATATGAGCAGCTGAGAAATAAATATAAGAACATCTATTTCACTCCATGCATCAACCACTGTTTGAGGAGCATGCTCTCACTGCCCGACAGGTGATATTCCACCCAAACTCTGTATGCAATGGGCTCTCCAACCTTGTTCCTGCAGCTACCCAGTGCTTCATTTGGGAAACCAAGTGAAATCTGTTCAGGAACATCAATAGTAACATGTTTTCGCAACTAAACATATTTCACGAAACTGTTGACAGCCCGTCTGCGTGCTCAAGAAAGGAATAAAGGAGCGAGAGGAGGAGATGGAAACGCATGGTGGTGAGATATTCTATATAGCTAAAGGTAATGTGTCACTCAATTAATTATGAAAATACAAAAAATTCTATATTACTAGGCTATTCAAAATAAAATAAAAATTCACTAATTGTAGGCTAACTGTAAGCAGCCCTGCACAATCAATGAACCAACAGCATCGCCTAGGGCTATACATTCTCTCCCAGACTCATGGATATACATTTTGGAGCGTAGCATAAGGTAACCAGTCCATCCAGTATGCATAATAATACAGTCCACACTCAGTGGCGATTACTGGAATTTGTATAGTATAGGCTAGACCAGTTATGTACCAAAGACATCTTAAATCAGTTTTGTTTGATGTTTTTCTGTGTAATATGTGTAGGCTATGTATCGTATTGTATAACGGCACAATCATCATTTTTATTCATGTTTTTTTTCTTCGGGCTTGGGCTCATAAGCGTTTTGAATTAATCATCCCCTTAGAAAGTGCTGTCCATTTTGTTGTGTTAGGCTTTGAAACAACATCCACAACAACCATGTTTTACACTGTTTCAACCTGCTGTTGAAGTTCTTTCTTCAAATTGATAATAATAATAATAATATGCCATTTTGCATTACAGTGATCATCACACTGAGGTGAGTTTTAAAAGTATGATAGACCTACTGTTTTGATGTGATTTTCGATTGCATTTGCATTGATGTCAGAGTGGTTAGAGGGACAGTAGAGCCCTGAGTACCAACCAGGCCATTAGGACCTGATGGTAGTTAGCAAGTTGGGTACTACAAAGGCATGTCCAGAGTGTATAAAAGGAGATTACCATGATTACCGTCACGTGGAATTTTACTGCGGTCATGACTCATGACTGCCGATGTGGCGGTAATACGGACACCGCAACAACCTTGGGGGGGTACTCTTTGCCTGGTCCAGTAGTCATTGTTCCCCCCTCTGCAAAATACAGCTGACAGATCTTTTATATAAAAAATACCCTTAAAAATGTAGTTGAGTAATTAATTTAACATCTGAATTTTTTTTAAAGGATAAATCTGAGGGGGCACGTGCCCTTGTGCCCCCTATGGGCATGAGGCCTCTGCATTTGCGTGCGCGCACACACAAACACACGTACGTCATAACTATGCCTACTGCATACACAGACAGACAGACAGGGGCTAAAGCCACCATAACATAACAACTGTTGCTATTTCAGGAGAGGGGGGGGGGGGGTTACAACTACTACACATCGACAACAGCCTTACATTAGAGATGGGGTTACAAATAATCTAGTTACTATCTAGTACATTTACATTTACATTTTAGTCATTTAGCAGACGCTCTTATCCAGAGCGACTTACAGTTAGTGAGTGCATACATTATTAATTTTTAATTTTTCATACTGGCCGCCCGTGGGAATCGAACCCACAACCCTGGCGTTGCAAACGCCATGCTCTACCAACTGAGCTACATCCCTGCCGGCCATTCCCTCCCCTACCCTGGACGACGCTGGGCCAATTGTGCGCCGCCCCATGGGTCTCCCGGTCGCGGCCGGCTACGACAGAGCCTGGATTCGAACCAGGATCTCTAGTGGCACAGCTAGCACTGCGATGCAGTGCCTTAGACCACTGCGCCACTCGGGAGGTTGTAACCACCAATACAAAAAAAATAACATTTCACACTCCACGATAAACAAGTCCAAATTACCGTCTTCAATGTCTTCAATGAGCTCATAGACTGCAATCAAATCAAATAAATCAACATGATTATCCTACTTACTAATCATAATAGCAATGATCCCTGCACATCTCTATCTCGCCACAGAGGGGCAGTAGACTCACAAAGACTGGCTCATCAAGGTCAGGCTGGAACGTTATCTGCCAGGTTAAATCATCACATAGCACAACTACATTTCTCTACCACTAGCTTCCACTTGGCATTACAGAGTATCAACAGGGAATTCTGGTCTCTGTGTGACTGACTGGTCTGTGTGTGTGTGTGGTGGGTGCCAGATCACAGAGTTACAGAGTTCAGGGGTCAGGGTGGGGTGGGGGGCATGATGGGGGGGTTCCGGTATCTTGGTTGTGAAATTGGTGTGCAGCGCGTCTGACCCAGCCTTGAGCAGAACACAGTAGAACACACAGAACCTCACCCGAGAGAAAGCGTTAACACACACACACACACACAGCCACCACGCAGATATTTGGTTAGTCAAAGGGTCAGGAGTTTAAACATTCACAACATCAACAGTACGACAGAGGATGGGGGTAAGGAGAGAAGGGAGGGGGATGGGGAAATGGCGGTGCGTTACCTCACAGGAGGATCCTTGTGTCCGGTAGCTTGGCACTATCTTAAAGGTGATGCTGCCTCGCATCTCTTTCTGTGGACACACAAACACACATACTCAGCATTTAAGTACACACACACGCACGCACGCACACACACACACACACACACACAATGTCCACTCACCAGCATCCTCTGTAGTTGCTCTACTGTCTGGTTGGCCACACTGATGCTGTTGATCTCTCTGATCTCATCTCCTACATGCAGTGTTCCTACAACACACATGACAGACAGTCTTTGTTCCAGATTGTCCTTATTGCAGTATTCATTATGCGTCTCAGAGTGCTGATCTAGGATCAGGTTCCCACTGTCCATATAATCTTATTTATTATGATCTAAAAGGCAGAACTGATCCTAGATCAGCACTCCTACATGTACTCTGAATATACAGTGCCTTCGGAAAGTATTCAGACCCCTTTACTTTTTCCACATTTTGTTACGTTACAGCCTTATTCTAAAATATATATTTTTTAAATCAGCAATCTACACACAATACCTCATAATGACAAAGCGAAAACAGCCTTTTAGACAAAAAACAGAAATACCTTATTTACATAAGTATTCAGACCCTTTGCTATGAGACTCGAAATTGAGCTCAGGTGCATCCTGTTTCCATTGATCATCTCTGAGATATTTTTACAACTTGATTGGAGTCCACCTGTGGTAAATTCAATTGATTGGACATGATTTGGAAAGGCACACACCTGTCTATATAAAGTCCCACAGTTGACAGTGCATGTTAAAGCAAAAACCAAGCCATGAGGTCGAATGAATTGTCCATAGAGCTCCGAGACAGGATTGCGTCGAGGCACAGATCTGGGGAAGGGTACCAAAACATGTCTGCAGCATTGAAGGTCCCCAAGAACACAGTGGCCTCATCATTCTTAAATGGAAGATGTTTGGAACCACCATGACTCTTCCTAGAGCTGGCCGCCCGACCAAACTGAGCAATCGGGGGAGAAGGGCCTTGGTCAGGGAGGTGACCAAGAACCCGATGGTCACTCTGACAGAGCTCCAGAGTTCCTCTGTGGAGATGGAAGAACCTTCCAGATGGACAACCATCTCTGCAGCACTCCACCAATCAGGCCTTTATGGTAGAGTGGCCAGACGGAAGCCACTCCTCAGTAAAAGGCACATGACAGCCCGCTTAGAGTTAGCCAAAAGGCACCTAAAGACTCTCAGACCATGAGAAACAAGATTATCTGGTCTGATGAAACCAAGATTGAACTCTTTGGCCTGAATGCCAAGCGTCACATCTGGAGGAAACCTGGCACCATCCCAACGGTGAAGCATGGTGGTGGCAGCATCATGCTGTGGGGATGTTTTTCAGCGGCAGGGACTGGGAGACTAGTCAGGATCGAGGCAAAGATGAACGGAGCAAAGTACAGAGAGATCCTTGATGAAAACCTGCTCCAGAGCGCTCAGGACCTCAGACTGTCCTTCCAACAGGACAACGACAGTAAGCACACATTTTACATTTACATTTTAGTCATTTAGCAGACGCTCTTATCCAGAGCGACTTACAGTTAGTGAATACATATTTTTTTTATACTGGCCCCCCGTGGGAATTGAACCCACAACCCTGGCGTTGCAAACGCCATGCTCTATCAACTGAGCTACATCCCTGCCGGCCATTCCCTCCCCTACCCTGGACGACGCTGGGCCAATTGTGCGCCGCCCATGAGTCTCCCGGTCGCGGCCGGCTGCAACAGAGCCTGGATTCGAACCAGGATCTCTAGTGGCACAGTTAGCACTGCGATGCAGTGCCTTAGACCACTGCGCCACTCAGGAGTGGCTTCGAGACAAGTCTCTGAATGTTCTTGAGTGCCCCAGCCAGAGCCGGACATGAACCTGATCGAACATCTCTGGAGAGACCTGAAAATAAATGTGTAGCAAGCTTGAGAGGATCTGCAGAGAGGAATGGGAGAAACTCCCCAAATACAGGTGTGCCAAGCTTGTAGCGTCCTACCCAAGAAGACTCGAGGCTGTAATCGCTGCCAAAGGTGCTTCAACAAAGTACTGAGTAAAGGGTCTGAATACTTATGTAATTGTGATATTTGTATTTTTTATTTTTATCAAATTTGCAAATACTTCTAAAAGCGTGTTTTTGCTTTGTCATTATGGAGTATTGTGTGTAGATTGATGAGGAAAAAACCCAATTTAATCAATTTTAGAATGAGGCTGTAACGTAACAAAATGTGGAAAAAGTCAAGGGGTCTGAATACTTTCCGAATGCACTCTAGGCCCAAATTTCACAAAGCCTGGAGAAGTGTTTGACTTCTCAGGAGCCACATTAATATGATCTAGCAATCTACAGAGACCGTCATAAAGATGACCCAGAACAGCTCCAGTGACACTTCACTTCAAACTAACCCTCTGTGATATGTGGACAGTGGCACAGTGTCCAAGGTGTCATATTTGACGACATGTTCCTATTTTTCGTACAGAGCAGATAATGTAAACTCGCGCTAACTCCCGTCTGTAGGTCCAGAGACATGGAGGGGCCTTGCTCTCAGCGAGTATTTGATACGGATGTGGCTTGTTTCCTACCTGTGTATAACGTGTGTGTGAGGTGTGCGAGTGTGTAAGGTATGTGTGTGTGTAAGAGGTAGACTTGGGCCAATGCTTCAGTTTTGGGACAATGCAATGTATAGCTGGGAGATATGGACAAAAATCCATATCACAATAAATAGACTGAATTATCAAGATAACGATAAATTGAACGATAAGTTTATAACATTAATGTGCACCACATTAATTACCCTTAAAACTACTACTTTGAATGTTGTAGCTATTGTGAACCATCCAGAGGGGCAGGGATGAATGGGAGTCAGAGGGGTGGGGACATGCAGGAAATCCCAGCTGACGTCACAGTACTCCCCAAACACACCCCTTATTAAGTCACAGGGGCAATTACGCGGGAGGAGAGGAACACATAGACAAAGAAACAAGGGAAAATATAAAACAAGGAAACAAGAAAAGGAAAGAAGAGGACATTGAGAGACAAAGACAAAGAACGTGATTGAATAATGCCCGTAGCTGAGAGCCAAAGCCAAGCCACAAAAGAGACTATTTCATTTGTTATCGAAAGACTCTTTGGTATATAAGTGAAGTGCTCTAAACTGAGCTAGGATTTGTTTGCCCTTTCTTGACCTGGCCGAATGCCATTCTGTGAACAGTAAATATATAATTTGTATTTTTGCAACTCAAAAAAAGATGCCTCTTCCTCTGTTTACACCACACCTCACTACTGCATAGATTGGAACCTCTGGACTGATCACACTATCAATTGTCCCATTAACAATCCCCATATTAGCAAACTTATTTCATTTAAACACATTCCTCTAGTAGGGCCCTATAGGTTATTTATCATAATGAACAATATCAGCAAAATGTTCACGATAAGTGGTTGGATTGGTGTCCATCATTTTGCGGTTTACTGTCCCAGCTCTAACGTAATGTCCAAATATCCCCTGCTATGTGTACATATTTGGGAGACGTTCTGAACAGTATGATACATTATGTGTGATAAAATGCAGTAATAATGTATAATAGTATAGTCTGATAACCAGTAATAATGAGAATAGCTGCTAGTGTAATAGAAAGAGATGGCTGGCTACCTTGTCTGTGGATCATTCCTCCATGCATTATTCTGGCTACGATACAGTGGTTCAGATCGTTCATCTTCAGCGTGATGCCCTGGAGAGAGGACAGGGGTCAGAGGTCAGCAAACATTGAGGTCATAGAAAGGTCATACAGGCTCAAGCTCAGGGACTGAGGCGCTAGGCTGATCTCACACAGACAGGGAAGAGAAGGGAGAAACAGCTAGAGTGGATAGTGTGTGTGTGTGTATGTCTGTGTGTAAGAACAGAGTGTATGACTATGCTTGTGGGACTGCTGTGTGGGATAATAAATACAGTCAGTGTTTGAGCGTGTAATTGCAGTGTCTAGGGTTGCAAAGCTACCGGTAATTTACCAAAGTTACCAGAATCTTCTGTAATTTTGATATTTAACAGAAAATCTATGGCAATCTATCGTAACTTTGGTCATTTATAATTGAATAACTTTTTTAAAAAGTATTCATATATAGTATTCATTGTTTATAGAAGTGTTCATATTGTCCATGAGGTTCTAGTAGATAGAGTTGTGGACTCAAGTCACATGACGGACTCGAGTCACAAATTTGATGACTTGATAGAAAATAACTTGAGAATTGACTTGGACTTGGAGCCTCAAGACTTGGGACTCGACTTTGACTTAAGACTTGAAATTATCTGGCCATATTTTGTAACGTTTTGTCACTCATTTTGTGGCACAGAGTCCGTGGATTACTCTCCACGCAGCCAGACAGTAGTCGCGACATCGCCCTTGCAAGTGAAATGCACACTTGGCCCTCTGATTGTAAACTGTCAATCAACACAGGTCGGGTGTGCTAGCGAACAGAGTGCTGATTTGCTGTATATAGATATGCAACTCCCAAAAATCCAAGAATAATAACTTTTAATTACTTTTCAAGCTCACCAGCAAAAATTACTAGCATAGGCCTACTGGTCTTTTTGTATGTCAAAATTGCTTGAAATTAATAATTTACTTTTGAAGTTTGCATTTGGAATTTGTTGTTAAATTTATTATTACTGTGGCGAAGACGCATCATAGGCGTCAGTGGAGAGCGCTTTGTTCTCTTGTTGAAATGCTTGCTGTTGCTTTCTTTCACACGTTTAAATGCATATATGGTAAATCTATATTCCATCTAATCCTACACTAATTGTTAGCGTTTCATCATTCCATCAAAGTAATATTTATTGCAACACTTAGACAATTCTGTTTCATGTTTGATACGATACATTTTTATTTAGCCTACCATTTCTTACCCTCTGAGTGGGCGCAAAGTTTATTGTGCACATGAACGTTCGCAATACTTTGTTCATATTTCCCGTGTTATGTTCCGTTTGTCTGTGTCCTATGTCGCTGTCATTCTGGTTGTGCATAATAGGAGCGTGCAATCCTCAGTGCGCATAGAAATAGGCTACGTGGCTTGCGCGCCACGCTTTGGAGTCAGTATGTTGAATACGAGAAACCTTTTGTTCCATGTATGAATGATGATTAAATATCATTAATAATCATTAAGTCTGATTAAGACGAATGTATGAATGTAGAACCAGTGTATTGGTTGTAATTCCCAATTGGGTAATTGTATGGTCCTGGGAGGGGCCAAATGCTTATGTGTACCTGTTTGAGCTCCTGTTAGATAGCTTCGATATGGTTTCTCAAGGGGAAACTACAGTCTTGCCCTCTACCTGTGTCCATTCAGATAGGACAGGTTAAGCCTGATATAGAAGCTATTTCTTTTGGGATATTGCCTGTGTATATTTGGTCAATGTACTTGTATATTTTGTATGATATGGAGCTTTCATCATTGGATCACCAAGACCAGTAAATAAATCTACACACTGAGCACGTCAACCTGAATTTCCCAAAAGGGCCACTAGAGTTATTGTGATAGATTGCATATATTCTTTGAAAGATACCAAAATTCTGTAAAGTTTCCAATAATATACCCTCCCTTTGCAACTCTAGTAGTGTTGTGTGTGTGTGTATATAGCCTGTGCATGAGTTTGTGTCGTACCATAGGTTCGTCAGTGTTCTTCTGGAACTGCACCAGGCGTACTCGAGTTACGTTCTCCAGATCCATGTCTCCGTTGGTGCTCTCGGGCGATTCTCCGTTCAGGTAGGGCGAGGTGGGCGGGGGTGTGACCCTCAGAGCCTCATCACTGTACACCTCATGGGCCACCACGTCATGGGTCTGGAGCAAGGCCTGGAGGGTGGGGAATAGAAAAAGTAGGGAGGGAGACAGATAGAACGTCATAAAGGGTCTGCAGCAAGGCTCACCTAGATGCACAGCAAGTTCTCTCTCCCTCCCTACCTCCCTCCCTCTTCTTGAAGGCTTCATAGCATACCATAGACAGGAGAAGCCACCCCCTAAAAACCTACACACAGACAGCTAGCTTTACTCAATGACAGAGAGAATTTCTGAGAGGCACTTTACCAAACAACTAGGAACTCCAGAAGACATGCAAGCATAAAACCACAACAAGACTAACCTGCCACTGGCTTCCCCTAGTGCATACACTCATCCCACGCACTTACTGAAAGTTAAAACGTACACACACACACTTTACCACATGAGCCCACTAATGAGAGCAGGCTCATTGGTTTGAAGGGAACTAATCCCCCCACCTGCAGATAGAGAGGCTTTAAAGTGACAGTCCAACACTAACTTTATCTCAACAACCAGGTCTGAGGTGATTTCAGCACAGCTATAAAGTGCATGCTACCCTCAGTCTAACAATGTTATGGACACAACATAGACCAGTGCTGTAACAGTGTCATAACTACTTTATATTAGGCAGGTTTCAGGTTAACAGAAAATGATTCTACCTTCAGCAAACTACGCTACTAAAACAGGCACTTAAAAGCTAGACACTCCTGTACTCAAGTTACAAGAGGGAAAACGTCTAAACCTGAATTCCCAAAGAAATGCATTCTGAAGTCAACCCCAGAGTTCTAGAATATCTGGTCAAGAGTAAAGTTTGAGAAAAATAGAACAATTAAATTCAACAGTTACAGAATAAGAATGTTAGTTCCTCACCAGTCTTAGTAGCTAGTAGAGTCAGTGGTAGACGAGTGAGAAAGCTGGGCTGTCTGTAGCATGCTCCTGAGAGACTGGTGGCAGGCTGGCGACACACATACCTTTCCCTTTGTGTGTGTGTGTGTGTGTGTGTGTGTGTCTAGGAATGTGGCTGCTTGTACCTAAGGGTGCCTCCCTCCCTCGTCTCACCTCTGCCTCTCCCCCACCCCTCTCTTCCCTCCACCTATCCCCTCTAAGACAGGCTCCGCTCTACATGGATACATTACATCAGACACATTCTCCCCCTTTCTCTGTCCAGATTTCCCTCCAAAATCTCCACCCCTCTTTCTCCCCATCTCTTTCCATCTCTTTCCTCCATTCTTGTCAGACTGGGTAAAGCTTGGCCTCAGATCAGATCTACATCAGACATGACTCACTGACCGTTCCATTCCTCACAGAATTGCTCCCTCTTTCCAAAACGTCCCTTCCACCTCTCCCTCCACACTACAGTCTGTAGTTCTAGGCCCCAACTCTCTCTCTCCCTCCCTCCCCCCTAAGACAGGCTCCACTCTACATTGATACATTACATCAGACACATTCTCCCCCTTTCTCTGTCCAGATTTCCCTCCAAAACCTCCACCCCTCTTTCTCCCCATCTCTTTCCATCACTGTCTCTCTCTCCCGACTAATCACTCTCTCTAGCCCCGTTCCAACTCCAATCTAATGTTCTTCTCCTCCAAATGTCCCAATACAACTCCAACATATACACCTCTCTCTCTCTCACTCTCTCTTTCTCTAAGCATCCTGTGGAAGTGTGTGATTAATAACGCCTCAGTGATAAGAGGACGACTCCTCCCTCCTCCTCCTCCACATCCCTTCTCTCTTTGTAGTACTGACCTCTTCATTGATCAGAGGGGAGGATAAGACACAGTGACGTGAGGTGATGAGATTAACAGTGTAGCTGTTAAAGCACCTTGAGAAGTGAGACTGTTTTTCTGTCTTTAACACTGGGAACAAAAGACCAGGGAGGTCACTAGGTCATTATAGAAGCTCTCATCACTCAGCACCCATACATTGTCTCCTGATCTCACACACACACACCTCCCTATGGAGTCTTCCTCTCTCTTCCGTTCCCCTCTCTCTCTGTGAGGGTCTCTAGAGATGTAAGGGAGCCGATTTAGCACACTATTCTCTCTGTCTGTCTGTCTGTCTCTATGGAGACTTCTCTCTCGGTCTCTGCTATAGCTTCAGTCATGACGCCTAAACACAGCCAAGTCGAGGCTGTCGAGGTGTGTGTGTGTGTGTGTGTGTGGTTTCACTCACCATAAAGTGCGGCTGGGTCAGTATCCGTCTGAGCTCCTTGGCGTCGTGGTTCTCCGGGTAACAAGAGATCTCTTCCAGTACCTGTAAGGTAGAGACAACAGCGCAGGGCGTCAGTCAGGGGGCCTTTCTGTAGAGTTAAAGTAGTCCTGCTCAATGCCTGTTCCAACCACACAAACGCAGGAGAGTATGTGTGGACTATTGAGTGACACAGTACATCAACCTCTGACCTGATTATTCCCACATACCCTCTCACACTTCCTAAAACACACCCCTTTAGAACCACTTCAACCCGTAAAAACTTCACTTTGAAATCCGTCAGCCCATGAGCTCCCCCCTCATGGCTTCTCTTAACCAATCAGAGTCCTCATTAGGGCTTCGTCACGCCCCCTGCCTCTCTGAGTGACTTGATTTAGTTCTGCTATGTCACACCTGCCTGCTGAATGTGGCGATGGAGAGGCCTGGCTTGGAGGGGAAGTGTGTATTCTCATCGTAAAACATTAATCCAGTGCCATCGCCATTGATCAATCAGTGTGTGTGTGTGTGTTCAAAACTATTGTATCCATTGCCTCATCTCTGATCAATTAAAGACATTCCCACCTCTCAGACCCAAACCCAAACTCATCAGATACAAACCCTTTACATACAGTACTAGTAGGATATTACCAACCTTCTGAGCTGAAACCTGAACAGACCCCGAACTTGAACAATTTACAACCTCTTTTAGAGAGAACACACTCACAGCCACACTACAGGCTCCTTTATAGACTCACACACGTGCTACTGAGTTACAGCCTACATGGGCCTAGCTACAGCCTACATGGGTCGAGCGACAGCCTACATGGGTCCAGCTACAGCCTACATGGGTCCAGCTACAGCCTACATGGGTCCAGCTACAGCCTCACGTATGCATAGTTACAGACAGCTCTACGCTTCGTCCAGTCTCCCTCTGTCAAATACCAAAATGCTTTAAAACAAAACCAACTAGTTTTCCTGTCTATTTTGTTTGTGTGTTTGTTGGGTTGTGAAAGACGTCTGGAGGCTTACATATTCCAGGTGTTTCAAAGCGGCACTTGCGTCGTCTTGGGTGGAGCTCTTTAGACCAGGAGGAGGACACAGGGAGGACAGTTACACATGTGACCTCTGATGATGTCGTTGGTCCTCATAGGAGGAGTCAGGAGTCATTGGGTCAAAGATCAGGGGATTTCAGGAGGGTCGGGGGGGGGGTAAAGTTTGATAAAGGTAAAAGATGACGGCGTCGGGGGGTGAAAGGTTAGTGTCTATAGGCTTTGTACAGTCACAGAGACGACGATCAAATCTGTGCCAGTGTGGTATCATTTTAAAGCATTTCAGTGTCGCCAGTGAGGATCAGTAGCAGGAAGCCAAGCAGAGTATTTCAGCAGAAGTCCCTTTAAGTCAATGGTGGGAAAAATAAGAATTTACATTTGGTTCTATGGTGAAATACTGGATCAATGTGTCTAATATTGACTAGAAAGACACTAAGATCAGACCTCAGAAAAAAAGTAAGGATTTTAGCAGAGAGAAAATAACACTACTAGAGGAAGTATGGTAACTAGAGAAACATTACACATACATAAAGGCTCTTGCACGCATTCAGACACACACACAACACCTGTTCAGTCTACCTCCATACAACCTAATCCAACTAGACTAGGTTAAAAGGGAAAACTATGACCCAGACACAACTATAAGCAGGCCATGACTTAGCCCCCTCTAGGACTAGACTGGGTCAACTCTAGTTGGTTCATTAATCAAGTCCTTTAGACACCAAAGCCACATAAAGAGTCCTAACACTGCTCTAAATGGCTTTTCCAGTATTAATACAGCTGTGTTTTAGTTTTTCCACCCACTCTCTCACTCGCTCTTCTTCTTAGTCAGACATACATTTTAATTGCCCTCCACATACAAAGAGCTCAATACAAACATTTCACACTTACAACACGTGTGCTTGTTTGTCAAAGTCCACACACACACACACACACACACACACACACACACACACACACACACAGGACCTACTGAGAAAGTGTAAATAAACAAGCACTCTAAGCTCGTTATTATTTTAATACTGTCTATAAAATGGACAAACAGACTGTGGAATAGCTTCACCAACAATGGGTGTGGAGAACAAAAAAAACGTAATAGGTCCTTTAAGTTTGTGGAAAATACTACATACAGAGCATTCGGAAAGTATGCAGACCCCTTTACCTTTTCCACATTTTGTTACGTTACAGCCTTATTCTAAAATGGATTAAATAAACAATTTTCCTCATTGATCTACACACAATACCCCATAATGACAAAGCAAAAACAGGTTTTTAAAAAACAGAAATATCTTATTTACATAAGTATTCAGAACCTTTGCTATGAGACTCGAAATTGAGCTCAGGTGCATCCTGTTTCCATTGATCATCCTTGAGATGTTTCTACAACTTGATTGGAGTCCACCTGTGGTAAATTCAATTGATTGGACATGATTTGGAAAGGCACACACCTGGCTATATAAGGTCCCACAGTTGAGAGTGCATGTCAGAGCAAAAACCAAGACATGAGGTTGACGGAATTATCCGTAGAGCTCCGAGACAGGATTGTGTCGAGGCATAGATCTGGGGAAGGATACCAAAAAATGTCTGCAGCATTGAAGGTCCCCAAGAACACAGTGGCCTCCATCATTCTTAAATGGAAGAAGTTTGGAACCAACAAGACTCTTCCTAGAGCTGGCCGCCCGGCCAAACTGAGCAATTGGGGGAGAAGGGCTTTGGTCAGCGAGGCCTGAATGCCAAGCGTCACGTCTGGAGGAAACCTGGCACCATCCCTATGGTGAAGCATGGTGGTGGCAGCATCGAGGGAAAGATGAACGAAGCAAAGTACAGAGAGATCATTGATGAAAACCTGCTCAAGAGCGCTCAGGACCTCAGACTGGGGCAAAGGTTCACATTCCAACAGGACAACGACCTTAAGCACACAGCCAAGACAACGCAGGAGTGGCTTCGGGACAAGTCTCTGAATGTCCTTGAGTGGCCTAGCCAGAGCCCAGACTTGAACCCGATCGAACATCTCTGGAGAGACCTGAAAATAGCTGTGCACCAACGCTCCCCATCCAACCTGACAGAGCTTGAGAGGATCTGCAGAGAAGAATGGGAGAAACTCCCCAAATACAGGTGTGCCAAGCTTGTAGCCTCATACCCAAGACTCTAATCGCTGCCAAAGGTGCTTCAACAAAGTACTGAGTAAAGGGTCTGAATACTTATGCTTTGTCATTAGGGGGTATTGTATTCCATTCCAAAACAGTTGTCCCCACTGACTGCCCTTGTCCACTTCTCTTTCAGGGGGAAACCTTTTGGAATGAAACACAGGGCTTCACTCTTTGACAGTTTAGTAGTTTCAAACTGTCTGGATTAAATGACTTCCCAGAATGAGTACCTCTTGTTCCTTCAATCTTCTTAACAAATAAGCCATGTTGGCCAACCTACTATAGACCCAGTTTATAAACCCATCTGACCCCTACAATCTGATTCAAGATTAGAGTCATACCCTTCTAGTCAATACCTTCTTCATCGGTTTCATTCAAACACTGACCCCAGGCCAGATTGAACCAATGTTAAACAAGCAGCAGATACCCAAAGAACGCTTAGGAAGTAGATAACAGCAGTGAATAGTTAGATAGGATGTGTCTGAAATTACACCCTATTCCCCATATAGGGCACTACTTTTGACTACTTCTGACCAGAGCCACATAAGGCTGTGGTCAAAAGTAGTGCACTACATGGGAAATAGGGTGTTATTTGAGATGTGAACATAATGAATAGTAGAATGAGGGTGATGAGAGATGTGTTAATAACTAGAGCCTTGTTGGTAAAGAAGAGTGTGTGATCAAGGCAGAGGCATAGGAAGCAGCGTGTGATCTATAGAGTTGATCATGTGATCAATCATCATCAATAATATCATATAGGCCTACACAAGCATGGTGATAAGCACACAACATTATATCAGTATGTGTGTGTGTCTGCTCACCTCTTTGGCTCTCTGCACAGCATCGCTAGAGGGGTTTCTGATCTGGGGGGAGGACTTGGTGTTGATCTTGTCGTAAAGCTGAAACAACACGACACACAACATTGATCGACAATAAATGGCTCATGGTGAATCATTTCAATGGGTGAATTATACATTTTGTTCTCTCTCTCTCTGTACTCAGAATTACCTGTTGTCTTTAGTGCCAGGCTCTCATCAATGCGGACAATTGCTTGCTTTCATTTAAACATTAAATAAGATTTACAATGTAGGGAAAATATATAGTTCATGATGCAGACTGAAAGAGGAGCAACACTGGTTCTGTTTGCAATGAACCAGCTGACTATACAAGATCATCTGTTGAGGTTGTGTGTGTGCGTATGAATCAGTGTGTACACACAGTGAGTAGTCTCCACTAACCAACCAAGACAAGCAGAGCAGTTGTGTGTAAGACACAAAGAAAAGTCTGGTTCAATGTTCACACTACTGAGAGGAGAAGAAGAGAGCTCAGTTGAAAAGTCAGCCATAAAATAACATGATAGAAAAATGTAACTCATGATCTTCATAGGAATGTGTGTTGAATAATGTAATACTTTTCTGGACATCAAAGGAGAGCAGCGGACATCATAAGACAGCACGTACATGTACACGTGCGCGAGCACACACGCACACAGCTCTTTCAAAAGAGGCATTTCCCCATAGCTCCTGCCCAGAGAGACAAGGCAGACAAATAGTACTAATCACAAGTACCACAGGTCTCAGCCATGGGTTTAGGCAAGAATCACAAACATGGTATGAAAACAGTTAACAGTGAAGCAGCTAACATTTAGTTAATGTGTATTTCTCACATAGAAGTCTAAACTACAGCTGGGAACGGTCCCGTTTTTCTAGAAATGTACATTCTGTGGCTATCCTTCTGTGAACTTATTTGTATGAACACTAACACAGTGATATTCAGACAGTATTATCATGCGAAGTCTGCTGTGTGTGTCATTCCTCAGTATTTGATGGGAAAAGGAAGAGAGCATTCTGAATGTTTGAGATGTCTGTGGTGCCTGGGTCGGCAGTGGGAGATAGAGTCAACCATGTTTGGACAGATGTCTGTGTGCTATTTGTGTGTGTGTGTATGTATGTATACGTGTGGGGGAGTGCATGGGGAGGCTGAGCACTAGACACCTGCTGTTCCTGGGAAAGTTCAGAGGCTCTGTCTCTCTCTGTCTGCTCCTACTGTGTAAGGCTGACATGAGAACTAGGTTCTAGTTTTTTCTGCATAGAAAAGTATTGGGCGGGCCGCATAAGTGTTTTTTCGGGCCGCCTATGTCCGAACAGTACAGGGATGGAAAAATATTTTCAGTGTAAACTTAAACAACTAAAACCAAGATATAAATGATGTAGAAAGGATAATGGACCTATATATATTTTTTAATAAGATCATCTTTGAGAACTAACAATAACCAAAAATAAAAGCTGGACAGTCTGGGAGAATCTAAAATTCAACAAATGATGCATTCAGGAGTATTTTTGTCATGACATGGGGCATAACTGCGGGAAGTAGGGGTGCTGAGGGTGCTGCAGCACCCCCTGAAAAATCGGAAGTAATACAAAGAATATATATAATAATAATAATAATATTAATAATAATATTAGAAAATTAAACAATTCCACAAAAGTAGTGCACTGGGCTTTTACAACTCCAGTATTAACAGACCGATATAGCCATCTGCAGGGTCATGGGAACCATACACACGCACCCACACATGAAGACACATACAGACACACACACAGTCACACACACACACACTGCTTATGTTTGAGTAGGTGTATATGTGTGAAGTCTTGGCAGCTAACAGGAAATGCTATTTTCAGATCTGCTCGCTATGTTCAGATGTGATGACAAAAACTGTCTTATAAAACTGCCTCTAAGTATTCTTACTGTAGGACATACTGTATGAACTTTACACTTGGCACTTACTTCAAACTACTAATGCGGCTACGTGCTACCATTATCAAAGATCTTACAGATTGCTTATCAAAACCTGACATATTCAGAAAAAAGTGTATATACACATCTCTTAAAATATAGTCATGTAACATATCACTAATTTGCCTAACTGTCAAACAGTTGTCTGAAGTTAGTCAACAATGTTCTCCCTAAAAGGATACACACACAAATGTGTGCACACGCTCACACACACACTGAAACAACAAGACCGACTCACCAACCAGATCCCAAGCAGTAGCCAAACACCCTAACCCAGAAGAGAATACGCACAACAAGCACTAAGCTAGCTTAGCATCTAGACTAGGCTACTGTTAGTCCATTCCGTTTCCAGTGGGTCTGTAGTTTCCCTGAGCCTCTCTGTGTGCGAGTAGAGAGGATGGTAACGTCAGCCCTACAGATGTACTCACAGATACCCTACTGCAGGAGTCTGGAGCCTGGAGTCACACAGCAGTGAAAGGGGCTAAGGCCTGACAATAGCACCCAGAGTCTGGGTCTTTCTCGCTCTCCTTGTTTCTGTCGCTTTTCAGAGCTGGATTGTGGGAGTCTCTCTCTCTTTTCAGTGAAGGAGTCTGGGTCTCCTCTTTCTCTCAATTTTCAGTGCAGGAGTGTGATCTCTCTCTCGCTCTCTCTCTCTCTAATGGGAATCTTCAGCAACAGGTTCCAAGTGAAAGGCCTTCCCAGGGAGAGAGAGTTGGAGACAAGTCTTCCTCTCTTTCTCCTCTTTTCTTCTTGCACCCATTCAGCCCCTGGCAACTGGGGCAGGGTCTGAAAGCAACAGCTTCCTCCCCAACTCCCTCATCCTCCCCCTTCCTCCCTTTTCCACTAACCCTTTTCTAACACTCTATTTGGTAACTCCCTTTCCCAACCCCCCCCTCAACTTCAGATATTGTAGGCTTTATAAGTTCATAAAACACATGAATGCGCGCACACACACTAACACAGATCAACTCTAACTCAGCCTTCTATAGATAAGTAATTAATAAACAAGCAAACAAACCATCCCACGGCACAGGGTCAACAGAGTTATCGTTAGCCAACCAACCTAGATAACGGTTTGTGTTATGACTGTGTCAAGTCAGTTGCCAGAAGCTGCATAAACTGCTATACTTTGTGATGAAGGGTGTGATTCAAGTGTTACGAAGACCCCTACAGGATTAAGATAAGAGTTTTTTAGAGTCAACAGGCCTCAAGTGAACTCTAAGCCCTTTAGTAAAACCTGGTTTCCCCTAGCCAGATAGCCTTCAGTCACATACATGGCACGCGCGCGCGCACACACACACACACACACAGCCAGACAGCCGCTCTCCTAATGTGGCATGAAATCATGAGCGCAGCATAGTTTCCCTCTGCAGGGTGTGTGTATGAGTATGTGAGTGGGTGTGTGTGTGTTTTGGCAGTGAACTGCTGATGCCCTCTGGAGCAGAGAGGTTTGGTGTTTGGCTGGCTGCTATGAGTTCCGGGTGACAGACAAAACACAGAAAACACTGGCAAGAGAGAGGGACAGAGAAAGAGAGAGGGAGAGAGAAAGAGTGAGATAAATAGCGAGGGGGGGGGGGGCAGGGGAAAAGGATAATAAAATATCCATCTACCACTTCCATTCTGTAAGTACAACATGACAATATGGTTGCACAATCTTTCTCCCACCTATATCCACTTGTTTTCATGTCAACAAGGGAATGTGTCTACAGGCAGGGGCTAGATAGCTAGCTAAAGGAAATGAGCCGTTAATGTAGTCAGCTAGGACCTACAGACAAAATGGAGTTAGCATATTGGAGTTTCGGAGTGTCTGACCTACAGCTAAACTCCCCTCCGCCATATAGATATGAGTTAGTCACTCAGTCAGTCAGAGAGAGGAGGATAAAGATTACTCATTGTCACAGCTAACATGGTGCAGATAGCGTCATCTAATGACAGAAACAACACTATCTGTCTGACTTACATTTTAGTGGCCTGACTAGCAGTATGTCTGCCTATGTGTTTGTCTCATTCTGTGTGTGTAGATGTGTGTGTATGTAGTCCACTCAAATCTAGTGTCATGCGTATACTTGTGTGTTTGTGTGTGTGTGTGTCTACTCACGTCTAGTAGTGTGTGTAGATGCTCGTCTTGGAAGACACTGTGAAGGAAGTCCATATCTTTCTCACTGCAGTCGGTCAACGCATGGATCTCCTCGAGACTGTCCAGCACCTGAGAGACAGCCCCTGTACACACACACAATGCACGCAAACGCACATGTCAAACCAGACAATCCATAATCAGTCAGTCAGTTATGTAGGCAACGCAACAGAACAATACAAGAGAATACATTGAACAGGAAATGGCAAAAGGGACAAATAATGCAAGATAAAACAAAATGGACAATCACAAAGCACACACAAGCAGGATCTAGGTGTGTAAGAGTTGAGTGCTAGAGAACTAGGGACAACACAGACAGATACAGAACACACACACAGAGCAGTATATACCTAGAGGAGGGATACCTACTTTCTGCTGCTAGTAGTCCTATCAGGAGGGCAGCATTAACACAAACACAGAGTTTAAGTTTAGACAAATTGACTAAGTTATCATTCTCATATAGGGACTACATGGACACAGGAATGGTAAAGAATAACTAGAATCGTGGCTGAAACATTCTCTGAAAACAGTACAGACCATCCAAAGATTTCAGAGGTGCTGAATTGACTTGTTAGTCCAACAAAAATAAAAGCAGTACTGTGTCAGAGGTTAGACACTCCACTCATGCAGTAACACCTGATTGAAATGATAAACTATGTGTGTATGTCTTCAGTAGAGACCATGATTTACAGTGTTGGGCTGGAACAAAAGCCTGCAAGCCCAGTACAGTAGCTCTCCAGGACTGAAGTTTGAGAAGCCTGTGTAAGAGTTAGAGCACTAAAGAAGATACTTGAAAAAGACAGAAACACATAGGACAAAGGGAAAGGGGGATACCTAGTCAGTTGTACAACTGAATGCATTCAACTGAAATGTGTCTTCTGCATTTAACCCAACCCCTCTGAATCAGAGAGGTGCGGGGGGCTGCCTTAATCGACATCCACGTCATCGGCGCCCGGGGAACAGGAACCCAGAGTGGTAAATATTGACACATATTGATGTGTATGTGTGTGATTCCTACCTGAGGTTGTGTCAGAATGTCAGGGAGCTTCTATAATGTGTGTGTGTGTGTGCGTGTGCATGCAAACGTGTGTGTGTATGCATGTGTGTGTGTGTGCAAACGTGTGTGTGTTTGTATGTGTGTGTTCCTCCTACCCGAGGATGTGGGGTCTTCACAGAAGTCAGGCATTTCCTCTGGTGGATCTCCGTAGAAGGAGTTAAACTTGTGGCTGGAGACTGCTGCCAGTACGGCTCCCTGAGACAGACACAGACAGTTAGACAAACTATCTTCCATGTCAGCACCAAACGTTTCAAAACAATAACACTCCTATTGTCATTCCAACTAGAAAAGGAAAGTAGAATTTGGGGGGCTTACCTTGAGCTTTCTCCTGGCGTTGAACTTCCTCAGCTGTTCCACTGTCTCTAGCAGGTGGATCTTATAGGCATAACGGTCTCTCTCCTGATCAACGCATACACAATCTCACTTTACTAGCCTTTCAGTAGCCCAAGAAGACGCTGTTTGTGTGTGTATATGTGTGTGTTTGTACACTGTAAAGGTGTTGCAGTGAATTTGACAGTAACTTACAGGCAGCTCATTGGCATAAGTGACTGTATTTAATATTACAGTAAACCTACTGTAATCTAAATACAGTATCAAAGCAATGACTGTGTAATGGCATACAGTACAATACCATAGAATTTACTGTATTACACTGTAAAAAAGTAAATGCTATCATAACTGTAATGAATAAATTAATGAATGGATGGATGAAATTCATTGACGGTATTGGGGTTTATATTTCACAGTATTATACTGTAATTAATGGGATTGGTGCAAGCAGGTTGACTGCTAGGTTAATACATTATAGCATATCAATATTTGTTGTTTTATATAACTTCCACTTCTAGAGGCCTTAACAAAGGCTTCCAAACTGACAGCAACTACAGGGCAAAATAGACCAAAAGGACATGGCAAAATGTTCAACCATTAAAGGTTTAAGACTAACTGCCACTAACTGTCCCCTATAGATTTGTGATGGGGCACTACTACCACATAGCAGTTAGATTTCTACAGCACTTTCACGAACGTGTGCATCAAATATAGCCTCTCTCAAGGCACGCCTCAAAATATTCCAGAAACAACAATACCATGCACCCATTTGTGGTCAAAATATTTTTGGCACTGCAAACATACGATACGGTACTGTATTCTGTGGGATGGAATTACAGTACCATTTGAAATACAGCCCCTCCCCCCCACACACAAAATGTTCACACAATGCACCATCATTTACAGTATGCTGTGATCCAGTAGGGGTTAAGGCAGACTGTGTGTGTGTGTACCTTGAGCCAGGGGTGGTTGAGTGCCTCGTAGACAGTGATTCTCTCTGCAGGATCCAGCATGAGCATCCGTCTCACCAGGTCCTTAGCGCTCTCTGAGATATGACCCCATTGCCTGGGGTTTAACTGGAGACACACACGGAGAGAGAGAAAAGCACACACACATTTTCAGGTGGGATAAGGCTACTAATACCATAGGCACAGAGTGGAGTTATTATTGTACACATCATTGTGTGGTGGAGTTTTGTAAATCAACTACTACCTTGTATTTGCCTCTGCAGATGGCTTCAAACAGGCGTTCCTTGGTGCCGTAGAAGGGCAGGCAGCCAGACAGCAGGATGAACAGGATGACTCCACAGCCCCACACGTCTACTGGCTTACCATAAGGCTCCCTCTTCACCACCTCTGGGGCCATGAAGTGGGGTGTTCCTACACGACCTGTAGGGAAGAGACAAAGGGTAGACACACATTCAGTCATACACATTTCTCATTTTTTCACACCTGTGACAATATGAAGTACACGTCTTGTGATAGATTACATCAAATCCTTGAAAGTTACCAACAAATCTGGTAGTTCGAAAGTTTCCAGTAATATACATTCCCTTTGCAACCCTAGCCTGGGCTAATCACCCATTCAGTTGTTCAAAAAATTATTTCAGAAAGCAAAATTATGGAAACACCACCTCTCCAAAACCTGAGCCGAATAGACTATCCTAGAAGGGTGCCCATGAATCCCCTGGCCCAAACTCAACTCAAAGCCCAGGGGAGAAAAAGTATTCTACAGCTCAAGTCAAGAGTGAGAATTGGATGCTGGAATGTCAGAACATTACACCAGACAGATAAGCCACAACAATCAAACCACACCCCCAAGCCAATTCACATTTGGCTTCTGTCATGGCCGCCAGCATTTCTTGAGGAGCAAGCCAAAAAACGAGGCCAAATCAGCGGGTGCAGTTCCCCTTTAAGTCAAGTAAGTTGCAAGTGTGGACACACGAACGCGCACACACACACACACAGAATATCACTTTCACTTGTTTTTTCTGAACAGAATGTCACTTCTAATGAATATAAAAGAAGAAGTGTTATTTCTTCTGGTTTCAGAAGCCACAAACTACCCAAGAAACCGGAACATCATTTATTTTCATATTCAACTCAGATCAAAAATCTAATCTACTACAACTCTCTACTACGCATCTGACAGTGTGTGTTTGTGTGTGTGTTTTCAAGTTTAAAGTTATATTTGTCACATGCACAAGTACAGTGAAATGCTTAACTTGCAACCCCCCCCCCCCCAAAAAATAAAATAAAAAATGAGATAAGAAATAAGAAAGGAAGAAAAACAAATGGAGAGTGTAAGCTACATACAAAGGAGTGCCAGTACCAAATGTACAGTGTGCAAGGATACTGGAGTATTCGAGGTATATACAGTGAGGGAAAAAAGTATTTGATTCCCTGCTGATTTTGTACGTTTGCCCACTGACAAAGAAATTATCAGTCTATAATTTTAATGGTAGGTTTCTTTGAACAGTGAGAGACAGAATAACAACAAAAAAATCCAGAAAAACGCATGTAAAAAAATAAATAAATTGATTTGCATTTTAATGAGGGAAATAAGTATTTGACCCCCTCTCAATCAGAAAGATTTCTGGCTCCAAGGTGTCTTTTATACAGGTAACGAGCTGAGATTAGGAGCACACTCTTAAAGGGAGTGCTCCTAATCTCAGCTTGTTACCTGTATAAAAGACACCTGTCCACAAAAGCAATCAATCAGATTCCAAACTCTCCACCATGGCCAAGACCAAAGAGCTCTCCAAGGATGTCAGGGACAAGATTGTAGACCTACACAAGGCTGGAATGGGCTACAAGACCATCGCCAAGCAGCTTGGTGAGAAGGTGACAACAGTTGGTGCGATTATTCGCTAAATGGAAGAAACACAAAAGAACTGTCAATCTCCCTCGGCCTGGGGCTCCATGCAAGATCTCACCTCGTGGAGTTGCAATGATCATGAGAACGGTGAGGAATCAGCCCAGAACTACACGGGAGGATCTTGTCAGTGATCTCAAGGCAGCTGGGACCATAGTCACCAAGAAAACAATTGGTAACACACTACGCCGTGAAGGACTGAAATCCTGCAGCGCCCACAAGGTCCCCCTGCTCATGAAAGCACATATACAGGGCAGTCTGAAGTTTGCCAATGAACATCTGAATGATTCAGAGGAGAACTGGGTGAAAGTGTTGTGGTCAGATGAGACCAAAATCGAGCTCTTTGACATCAACTCAACTCGCTGTGTTTGGAGGTGGTGGAATGCTGCCTATGACCCCAAGAACATCATCCCCACCGTCAAACATGGAGGTGGAAACATTATGCTTTGGGGGTGTTTTTCTGCTAAGGGGACAGGACAACTTCACCGCATCAAAGGGATGATGGACGGGGCCAAATCTTGGGTGAGAACCTCCTTCCCTCAGCCAGGGCATTGAAAATGGGTCGTGTATGGGTTTTCCAGCATGACAATGACCCAAAACACACGGCCAAGGCAACAAAGGAGTGGCTCAAGAAGAAGCACATTAAGGTCCTGGAGTGGCCTAGCCAGTCTCCAGATCTTAATCCCATAGAAAATCTGTGGAGGGAGCTGAAGGTTCAAGTTGCCAAACGTCAGCCTCGAAACCTTAATGACTTGGAGAAGATCTGCAAAGAGGAGTGGAACAAAATCCCTCCTGAGATGTGTGCAAACCTGGTGGCCAACTACAAGAAACGTCTGACCTCTGTGATTGCCAACAAGGGTTTTGCCACCAAGTACTAAGTCATGTTTTTGCAGAGGGGTCAAATACTTATTACCCTCATTAAAATGCAAATCAATTTATAAAAATTTTGACATGCGTTTTTCTGGATTTTTTTGTTGTTATTCTGTCTCTCACTGTTCAAATAAACCTACCATTAAAATTACAGACTGATCATGTCTTTGTCAGTGGGAAAACGTACAAAATCAGCAGGGGATCAAATACTTTTTCCCTCACTGTACAGTAGATACTAATATATACATGTAAACAGGAATAATAGTGACCAGTAGCAGGATAAATATATAGGTACAATTGTAATAGCAATCAATAATCAATTAACAGCAGCGTAATGGTAGTAATACATGTAATCAATAATAATTTTAGCAGCAGCGTAGGTGTGAGGGGTTGTGTGCATGTGGTGTAAGTGTGTGGCGTCAGTAATGAGTGTGTGAGTGAGTGGGTGTATGTGAGTAGGTGTGTGTGCGTGTGAGTAAGAGTGACAGTGAAGGTGTGTGTCTGAGTGGGTAGAGACCTGTGGATGGGCATAGAGTCAGTGTGGATAGTCTGTGGGAGAGGGAGAGCAGTAGTTATTAGCCATTTAACAGTCTTATGGCCAGGGGATAGAAGCTGTTTAGGAGTCTGTTGGTCTGAGCCTTGATACCCCGGTACTGCCTGCCGGACGGGAACATGGTGAACAGTCCATGTCTTGGGTGGCTGGAGTATTTGGCAATTTAGGTGTGTGTGTGCACGAACACGAGGCGTTGACCAGACATAGTCAGGTCTAATTCGTATTCTAAGGTCAGGCCACGTACACAGGTGTGTAGTTTCAACTTCCTGTTAAAACACACGTGTCAGCTCTCATGCAACTACAGTCATTGTTAGTAAGAGGAAATTTTAACATTGGGTCAAACCAATGTGTGAAGAAAGCTGATAGTTGATGTGTCAATATGAGTAATGCATTACAATGCATCAGGGATGGAGATAAATATCTATTCCTCCCTGATTCAGTGTGAATGGATAGAACTGGGGAGCATAGTGTGTTGGTTTATCTTGTCTGCTGTGAAAACACTCATTCAAATGTAATGTTAACCTAACAATTCATTAATACATCTGGTACCCTACATGTGGCATTACCCTTAGAGCGACTGAACACACTGATTAAGCATGTGTTTCTCTGTTGCTCATTAAGACACATTTGATTGAAGTCTTGGGGTGTGGTTCGATGTGGAAGTTACGGATGTTTGTCCCCCATGAGACACCATAGGAACAAAGCCAGTATTACTTCCTCAAAATTGTCAGAATTAATCTAATTTAAGAAATCTGTAATTAATTAACTTTTTTGCCAAGGAGGTTTTAGTCGCGCAATTTTCTATCTAGCTAAGACATTTGGTGCAGTATTTCTCAAGTAAATAAATGTGTGACCTGTTGCTTTATGTTGCGTTGATGGGCAGGTCTGTCTCACTGTCTTTGTGTTCTGCGGTAGGATTGGATAAAACGCAACAACCGCAGCTGTGTATCCTACGTTAGTGGGCAAGTTAGCATTGTCGAAATCAAAACCCAACCTTCAAGTCATGACGAACTCACAAAACACAGTTTTGGACGAAACTGACTTAATTAACAAAATTATCCTATTTTACACTGTAGTCACTACAATAAATATTTCTGACTAATACCGGTGCCACATAGGTTGTTATCTTTAAGATACAGTGCCTTGCAAAAGTATTCATCCCCCTTGGCATTTTTCCTATTTTGTTGCATTACAACCTGTAATTTAAATGGATTTCTATTTGGATTTCATGTAATGGACATACACAAAATTGTCCAAATTGGTGAAGTGAAATGAAAAAAATAACTTGCTTCAAAGAATTCTACAAAATCAATGACGGAAAAGTGGTGGGTGCATATGTATTCATCCCCTTTGCTATGAAGCCCCTAAATAAGATCTGGTGCAACCAATTACCTTCAGAAGTCACATAATTAGTTAAATAAAGTCCACCTGTGTGCAATCTAAGTGACACATGATCTGTCACATGATCTCAGTATATATACACCTGTTCTGAAAGACCCCAGAGTCTGCAACACCACTAAGCAAGGGGCACCACCAAGCAAGCGGCACCATGAAGACCAAGGAGCTCTCCAAACAGGTCAGGGACAAAGTTGTGGAGAAGTACAGATCAGGGTTGGGTTATAAAAAAATATCTGAAACTTTGAACATCCCACGGAGCATCATTGAATCCATTATTATATGGCACCACAACAAACCTGCCAAGAGAGGGCCGCCCACCAAAACTCACGGACCAGGCAAGGAGGGCATTAATCAGAGAGGCAACAAAGAGACCAAAGATAACCCTGAAGGAGCTGCAAAGCTCCACAGCAGAGATTGGAGTACCTGTCCATAGGACCACTTTAAGCCGTACACTCCACAGAGCTGGGCTTTATGGAAGAGTGGCCAGAAAAAAGCCATTGCTTAAAGAAAAAAATAAGCAAACACGTTTGGTGTTTGCCAAAAGGAATTCGGGAGACTCTCCAAACATATGGAAGAAGGTACTCTGGTCAGATGAGACTAAAATTGACCCTAAGCATACTGCTATAGCAACACTCGAGTGGTTTAAGGGGAAACATTTCAATGTCTTGGAATGGCCTAGTCAAAGCCCAGACCTCAATCCAATTGAGAATCTGTGGTATGACTTAAAGATTGCTGTAGACTTAAAGATTGCTGTACACCAGCGGAACCCATCCAACTTGAAGGAGCTGGAGCAGTTTTGCCTTGAAGAATGGGCAAAAACCCCAGTGGCTAGATGTGCCAAGCTTATAGAGACATACCCCAAGAGACTTGCAGCTGTAATTGCTGCAAAAGGTGGCTCTACAAAGTATTGACTTTGGGGGGGGGGGGGGGGGGGGGGGGGTGAATAGTTATGCACGCTCAAGTTCTGTTTTTTGTCTTATTTCTTGTTTGTTTCACAAAAAAAATATTTAACATCTTAAAAGAGGTAGGCATGTTGTGTAAATCAAATGATACAAACCCCCCAAAATCAATTTTATTTCCAGGTTGTAAGGCAACAAAATAGGAAAAATGCCAAGGGGGGTGAATACTTTCGCAAGCCACTGTAAATTGTTTATTGCCTTCAGTTGCGCTTTAAGGGGATAGTTGACCCCAAAAATCTAAGTCTGTCCAATTAAATGGTGCCAATCTTTCCCAATTATTTGGTTGTATTATTAATTAACTCTATTTGAATTTACAAATAGCAGAAACAAGCTCATTGCAAGTACTAGTTACAAGTACAGATTACGTTGATAAAAGTTGTATCCTTCTTGTGTGAGAGAGCAAAGTGAGAAGAGAGGCCACTCTCCAATATCCACACTAGCATACCACATTGCATGAAGCAATGTACTGGTCATGCATTCTAAATGGTATACTAGTGTGGATATTGGAACATAAACTCGATATATAGCCTCTTTTCCAATATCCACAGTAGCATACCATTTAGAATGCATGGCCAGTACATTCTGCTTCATTCCATGTGGTATGCTAGTGTGGATATTGGACGGAACCTGACAGCCAGTCCCAATTCAGATCTGCAAACATCTGAGTGATGCGCAGGGACATTCCCAGCATGCAATGTGTTGCGTACCTCCAGCCACCAGTCCAGACTCTCCCAGTTGGATGGCCACACCGAATCCTCCCAGCTTCACTGGAGCACTGTTCTCTTTAGACGCCAGGAGGACACAGTGGGGCTGGAGGAGAGAGAGGGAGAGAAAGAAAGGAGAGTGTGCAAGGGAGAGAGAGAGAACATATATTTCATTTTTGATTAAATAGCTACTATAATATTGAAACTGCATCCAATGGCTTATCATAGTGCACTACGCTTTATTACGGGCAATAGGTTCAGTACACATCACTGCATTCTGTATCAGAAAGTAGGCTGGCCCTCGCTGCTCTCTTGTTGTTTATAAAGCCCTCCTGTGCAAACTTCCGCCATTCTTTACTTCATTGTTAAATTACAGACACACGAGCCACCAGACCTGATCACAGGGATGGTTAACTCTAGAGGTCCCGTTGACCACTACAGAATTAGGGAAATCATCTTATTTTCTTTGTTCCCCGTATATAGAATAATATGCAGGGCTCTCTGCACCTTGATGCTCTGGTGCCGCTAGGGCAGTTCAAGTTGTTAATGAAGGACCTCATTGTTGAAGAATGTGTTTGTTCTTAAATTGCTTGTAGTATGGTAAGTTTGTATTACGTTGTATGCTTGCATGTTGTAGATTTTATAAATTATGTTCATGCAAGGTTCGCTTGAAAAAGAGGCCTTGGTCAAATATAATAACTTAAATAAAATAAAGTAATTGTGCACATTTACGCTTAACTTTAGTCCTGACGCTTAACTTTATGTTCTATTTTAAACCATTAAAGGACACCCACCAATACAATATAATCTAAATACAAGACACACCCAACCCACAAAACCACCAACCCTCACACCACCCTAAAACCCAGAAGTACCCCACTACAGAGGAAAGTCAGACATTATATCGTAAATCGGAAAGCAAAGAAAAAGGTGTGAGCGAATGTGAAGCTGTCTAGGTATAGGACTTGCTAAGAATTTCGTCAGCTCTTGTCAAGCTGTAAGCGGAATCTGCAAGTGTATCTGTAGGGTTAACATTTTACTTCCAATAAAACAGGCACTTTTAATATGAGCCATATTAAAACGACAACATAATCATAAACACTGCAAAACACCCTGGTAAATCCATTATCCCTCCACCCTGTGTCTGACAGACTACTGACTCCTGTGCCATTCTGTGGCATGTGTTTGTCTACCTAACTAACTTGTTTGAGTAGGTACACTACATGACCAAAAGTATGTGGACACCTGCTCGTCGAACATCTCATTCCAAAATCATGGGCATTAATATAGAGCTGGTCCCCCCTTTGCTGCTATAACAGCCTCCACTCTTCTGGGAAGGCTTTCCACTTGATGTTGGAACATTGCTGAGGGGACTTGCTTCCATTCAGCCACAAGAGCATTAGTGAGGTCGGGCACTGATGTTGGGCGATTAGGCCTGGCTCGCAGTCGGTGTTCCAATTCATCCCAAAGGTGTTCGATGGGGTTGAGGTCAGGGGTCTGTGCAGTCAAGTTCTTCCACACCGATCTCGAAAAAAACATTTCTGTATGGACTTCGCTTTGTGCACGGGGGCATTGTCATGCTGAAACAGGAAAGGGCCTTCCCCAAACTGCTGCCTCAAAGTTGGAAGCACAGAATCGTCTAGAATGTAATTGTATGCTGTAGTGTTAAGATTTCCCTTCATTGGAACTAAGGCCCAAACCAAGCCCCAGACCATTATTCCTCCTCCACCAAACTTTACAGTTGGCACAATGCATTTGGGCAGGTAGCGTTCTCCTGGCATCCGCCAAACCCAGATTCGTCTGTCGGACTGTCAGATGGTGAAGCGTGATTCATCACTCCAGAGAACGCGTTTCCACTGCTCCAATGGCGGCGAGCTTTACACCACTCCAGCCGACGCTTGGCATTGCGCATGGTGATCTTAGGCTTGTGTGCGGCTGCTCAGCCATGGAAACCCATTTCATGAAGCACTTACAGTTGACCGGGGCAGCTCGAACATGACAGAAATTTGACAAACTGACTTGTTGGAAAGGTGGCATCCTATAACGGTGCCACGTTGAAAGTCACTGAGCTCTTCAGTAAGGTCATTCTACTGCCAATGTTTGTCTATGGAGATCGCATGGCTGTGCACTCGATTTTATACACCTGTCAGCAACAGGTGTGGCTGAAATAGCCGAATCCACTAATTTGAAGGGGTGTCCACATACTTTTGATATATAGTGAATGTGTGTGTGTCTAACTTACTATGGTCTGGGTAGGGCTACAGCCATGAAAACATCATTGCAGAAACCTACACATCAAAGACAGTTCGGTTTGCACTGCCAGCTGTTTGAAGACTTGCTCCAATGCTCACACATACATATGTAAATCTGTTAACAAGAGTTGTTCACGACGCCACCACCACCACCACAGACTCTTGTATTTTTCTCTTTTAAAGACAACACAAGCTCGTCTCATTTTGAACACACTTTGAAGTTACTTTTGTCTCCATCTATTACTAGTTTTTCCGTTTGCTATATAATCAGTGTATATTGTGGACAGTGTATTGTATACATAGGCGGTCTATGCTCTGTGATCCTGGCGGTTGCTCTAGCATGTGTAATCAGCATTGGGCTGGGCCCTGCGGAAGTGTGTGTGTGTGCGAGCAAAAGTGTGTGTGAGCGTATCCAATCTGCCCTGTCTCTCGGTCTCTGTGGTTTAAAGCTGTCAGTTTTCTCACAGCTTTTGAGACCAGATCGCAGTTGAAGGGAAAGCAGAGGAAATAGAGAGAGATAAAGTGAGAGAGGACGAGAGGAGAGAGATTCTGGGGATCCTGAGGCGTTTAACGACCTGTTAGTCACAGTTTTCCAGAGAATAGTTGAAGTCTTAGAAAGGCAGATAGAGTACCTAGAGAACTAGAACCTACATCTACATCTATTTAGGGCAGCTCCAACTCTCTAAAAAACAGGGAGAAAAGCTGGAGCAAAACAGACTGGAGTAAGAAAATAACATTTATGCTAAAAACAGAACTACAAATCTGAGAGAGAAAAATAATGAAAGAGAGAATGAGAGTTTAATTATCTAATGCAACACAAGCACATTCACAAAGAGGGAAGAGAAACAACTTCTCCAATGGTCATAATTCACAGGGTGAGTACTGTGTGTTTTCAATGAAAAGCTGTTTCCAGATTTTAAGGGTAAGGCAAAATCACTTTTATGTGCTATGATTGTGTTGTGAATTCTTGTGTTGCTATTCTTGTTTCAAACCAAACCCGTTGATTATGTAAATTCAAAACGATATTCCCACAGTGCAAAGAGCAAATTATTTCCTTATACTGGATATAGCCCAGAGTGATGGAATTACAAAATACCACCCGCAATATTTTCCAACCATTTGAAGATTTAACTGGTTGTCTCTGAGTATTTTGCAACGGGGAAAAGCATTGTTGAGTTAATTTGAGAAGTAAAGGAAAATCTGTTATTCCCCCCATGTTCCTCTATACTGTAGGTCAGGTGGTGTAGTCTGTAGTTGTCTGTCAGGTGGTCAATCAGCTGGCCAGTGTGTGTACAGGACCTAAGTAATGTATAATTATTAGTGGATTAGGTGCTGATCCGGACCCAAATCATCTAGCTTGGCATCCTGCCATCAAAACAGACCAGAACTAATGAGAGCAAATAACTTTCCCAAGAGAACATTCTGGAAGAAACACATTCACTTAAATCACAAATCTATCGAGTTACAACAAAATACAACCGCTTCCATTTCTCCCACCCAAGTAGCCAAAAAACCCAGTCAGGCTGACTTCTGGTTGATTTAAGGAAGTAGACAAAGTTTCTGGATGAAATGTTATTTTTATTTACTTTCTCCTCTATGCAGGACTAAGGATTGAAGAGGGAAACCGATGCTATGACGGCCAACTTCCCCGCCAACGTCACAGCTTTTCCCTTTCCCAAGTCCTCCCACTCACTCATCGCCACAGAGACTACCTTCAAGAACTTCTTGACCGCAATAACCTCTGACCCCAGGGAACACTGTCAACTTGATGACAGCTCCCTCCAGACCCCTCTAGCAGTCCTCTACTCTGTCCTCTTCGTCTTGGGCCTGGCCGGCAACATACTGGCTCTCTGGGTCTTTCTGTACGTCCACTCCAAGAAGAACTCTATCCGAGTGTTCCTCATCAACGTAGCGTTAGCCGACCTGCTACTGGTCGCCTGTCTCCCATTCAGAGTGCTCTACCACAGTAAAGGGAACCACTGGGATATGGGCCCCACACTCTGTAAGGTCGTGGGAAACCTATTTTATATGAACATGTACATCAGTATCACCTTATTAGGGTTGATCAGTGTGGATCGCTATCTGAAGATCCAACGTGGCGCTGGGGAGCAGTATCGCCTCCAGGACACCAGATGGAGTTCCGCCGTCTGTGGGACCATCTGGATCCTGGCCCTCGCCTCAGTCATACCCATGATCCTCCTCTCCGAGGGCAACGAGGAGTCGAACAAGTGGGTTTTATTTTTGAATTTAAAAAAATGTAAACATCTGTTGAGGAGAACTTTGTTGATATGCTTTATTTGAGTAGGGTCCAACATTTTGAACAATTATACTAATAGTAACTTTATTTTCTCCCAATCCCCCAGGTGTTTCCAGTATAAACAGAGAAAGCGTGTGAAGGGGAAGGCCTATTTCAACCTCTTCCTGGTTGCCATGTTCTGGTTCGTGTTCGTCTGCCTCGTGGTGTCTTATGGGAAAATCGCACTCAAGCTGCTGAGGATGTCGAGAGAGAAACCGGACCTCCCCAACGCGACCCACTACAACCGTATCGCCAGGAAGTCCTTCTTCGTCCTCTTCCTGTTTACCATCTGCTTCGTCCCCTATCACATGGTCCGGGTGTTCTACGTAGTCTCCCAGATCAGCAAAACTTCCTGCTACTGGACGGGCATGGTAGACCAAGCCAACGAAGTGGTGTTGCTACTCTCTGCCCTCAACAGTTGCCTGGACCCCGTGATGTACTTCCAGTTGTCGGCGTCTGTGAGGAAAGAGACACTCCGATTGGTCAATAACATGTTCCAACAGAGGGACTCAGGTGGCAGTGGGAGTGGATCCAGTGTGGATTGTGGGAGAAGCCTTGGGGAGCAGCCAACCGTTAGTTTACTCAGTAATCTAAGAACAAATATAACTGTCCAGCCCTCCCTCCTTCAGATATAAATAAGATGAAGTTGTCACTAGACACTGATCTGAGGTCAGTTTTGCTTTTTACTCCCTAATGGTTAAGGTTTGGATGTGGGGAGTGGAAGATATGAGTGAAAGAAGCAAGGATGGTGGCCACTTCTGTGCCAACCGTGTTGGGCCACAAAATAGCAGCAAAGTCCACCCTCCGTCAGGTATCAGGACTAGCCAGCATAAGCCATTTCGTGCCAAGAACAATTTGAAGAGCCACAGTCCTGGAGAGCATCAACACGACTCCATGGAATTGGGGTGTGGTTGACATTTTTATGTTGGTGCTTTTCTATCTACCAATTTCAATGATTAATTAATTATGCTAAATCATGCAAATATAACTTGTCTGTGTATAGCCGTTTATAAAAGACAACCGCTGGGCCGGCCCGAGCAGAGCTTCTGACAGACGTTCACTATGGTGCATTAAGTTTGTTGGAACCTCTCCAGCGCGCTTTGGTAAACAACTCCAGTGTAGATTTGCTCTTGTGTTTTAAGTTATTGTCCTGCTGAAAGGTGAATTAATCTCCCAGTGTCTGGTGGAAAGCAAACTGAACCAGGTTTTCCTCTAGGATTTTGCCTGTGCTTAGCTCCATTCTGTATATTTTTTTATCCTGAAAAACTCCCCAGTCCTTAACGATTACAAGCATACCCATAACATGATGCAGCCACCACTATGCTTGAAAATATGGAGAGTGGTACTCAGTAATGTGTTGTATTGGATTTGCCCCAAACATAACACTTTGTATTCAGGACAAAAAGTGAACTGCTTTGCCACATTTTTTGCATTATTACTTTAGTGCTCTGTTGCAAACTGTAAACAGGATGCATGTTTTGGAATATTTTGTACAGACTTCCTTTTTTTCCACTCTGTCAATTAGGTTACTATTGTGGAGTAACTACAATGTTGTTGATCCATCCTCAGTTTTCACCTATCTACCAATTTCTGTTCAATGTTTGTGCTTTTCTATAAACCAATTTCTGTGTTCATGCAAGTGACTGACTGAACAAATCCTCTATCAGTAGCTGCAATTTGGGAGTATGCCCAGACCTTGTTTTGAAAACGAAAGATATCTCAATTTCAAGGTCTCAGCTTGGACAGAAGAAGCCTCGTGAGGTATTGGTCTGTCACATGTTATGAACCGGTTTTGGTCGGTCACATTGAATGAAACAAAACGGTAATGATTCATTAATTATGCTAAATCATGCAAATATAACTTGTCTGTGTATAGCCGTTTATAAAAGACAACCGCTGGGACGGCCCGAGCAGAGCTTCTGACAGACGTTCACTATGGTGCATTAAGTTTGTTGGAACTTCTCCAGCGCGCTGACAGTTTTTGCAGGGGATATGTCATGCTAAAAGGACTGCACAGACATTGAGGACCATACAGACACCACAGTGATATTACTGAGAGTATACTGGGACTTTTATAAATGAGGAAATTGAATCATTCGGTCATGACATGCTGGTGGAAAACAAAAGAAAGACAATACCCAATCTCACTTATAAAAGCCATGAAGGCACGCTATGCTAAAAGAAAGCGTGGGACTGTGATGACAAAACATTAGATTAATTATTACCATTCATTGTGAATAGGCTACTGAATGGTTGTTGAGTGGTTTTGTAACTGCTTTTTGCCTGTTTCAATGTTTCATATATTGCCTGTAATAGAGACATTTTGAGACATTAAAAGGTTGGAAACTATATTGAATAATTAACATGAAAAAATGAATAAATTGAACAATGTAATGAAAAGGGCATTGTTTTTATACTACTGGTATACTGTTCATATTGCAACATTAGGCCTTGGTTGGCCCTCAGTAAAAACCAAAGCATTGATTTGTCATAAATACTCATATGAATGCATTCATAAAGACTTGTTACATCTGAAAATGCAAATGATAGACTACAACAAGTAGACACTCTAGTCTAGCCCAAAGTGCTGAATAGCAAAATCCCAAGCTCAGGCAGGTCTAGCATGGACAGGGAAGAGTACAACAGCTTCTGTATGGGCCACTACAGAGCACCCTCCACTTGACACATTTTATTATACTTTAAAGTGGAGTGTGTAGCACTGGAATTAGCAAAGATGGTAACCATGGCACCAAGATAAGAGTGAGATCATTTGGAGCATGATTCAAAGTAACACAGTATGTGTTCTTTGCCCACAGTAACACAGGATGCATGAAATACAGAGAGAGAGAGAGAGAGAGAGAGAGAGAGAGAGAGAGAGAGAGAGAGAGAGAGAGAGAGAGAGAGAGAGACAAAGAGAGAGAGACACAGAGACAGAGACAGAGAGAGAGAGAGAGATAGAGATAGAGAGAGAGAGAGAGAGAGAGAGAGAGAGAGAGAGAGACTGTGGGCTGGGAGTCTGAGTTAGATGAGAACGTGGGAGGTAGTAACAAGAAATTAGATAAGCATCCAGAAACACTTCATTTATGTCTGATGCTAGTTAAAGATGGATCTAACAACAGATAATACACAACATATTTCAATATATCTATCTGTTCATAGGCTCAGTGGAACCAGCAATCATCCACACAGGTAAGATTTCTACAGTGCCTTCAGAAAGTATTCATACCCCTCGATTTATTCAACATTTGGTTGTGTTACAGCCTGAATTCAAAATTGATTAAATTGATTTGTTTTCTCACCCATCTACACACAATACCCCATCCCATAATGACAAAGTGAAAATGTGTTTTTATACATTTTTGCAAATGTATTGAAAATTAAATACAGAAATATCTAATTTACATAAGTATTCACATCCAGATCTTCCAGATAACATCCCTGAGTCATACTTTGTAAAAGCACCTTGGGCAGAGAATACAGCTGTGATTCTTTCTGGGTTGTTCTCTAAGAGCTTTCCACACCTGGATTGTGCAACATTTGCCCACTATTATTTTCAAAACTCTTCAAGCTCTGTCAAATTGGTTGTTGATCATTGCTAGACAACCATTTCTAGGTCTTGCCATAAATGTTCTGGTAGATTTAAGTCAAAACTGTAACTCGGCCACTCAGAAACATTCACTGTCGTTTTGGTAAACAACTCCAGTGTAGATTTGGCCTTATGTTTTAAGTTATTGTCCTGCTGAAAGGTGAATTAATCTCCCAGTGTCTGGTGGAAAGCAAACTGAACCAGGTTTTCCTCTAGGATTTTGCCTGTGCTTAGCTCCATTCTGTATATTTTTTTATCCTGAAAAACTCCCCAGTCCTTAACGATTACAAGCATACCCATAACATGATGCAGCCACCACTATGCTTGAAAATATGGAGAGTGGTACTCAGTAATGTGTTGTATTGGATTTGCCCCAAACATAACACTTTGTATTCAGGACAAAAAGTGAACTGCTTCGCCACATTTTTTGCATTATTACTTTAGTGCTCTGTTGCAAACTGTAAACAGGATGCATGTTTTGGAATATTTTGTACAGGCTTCCTTTTTTTCACTCTGTCAATTAGGTTACTATTGTGGAGTAACTACAATGTTGTTGATCCATCCTCAGTTTTCACCTATCACAGCCATTAAACTCTGTTTTAAATCCCTGCCGTGTAATTAATAACTTCACCATGCTCAAAGGGATATTCTGTGTCTTTTTTTATTTTTACCCATCTACCAATAGGTGCGCTTCTTTGCGAGGCTATGGAAAACCTCCCTGGTCTTTGTGGTTGAATCTGTGTTTGAAATTCCCTGTTTGACTGAGGGGCCTTCCAGATAATTCTATGTGTGGGTTACAGAGATGAGGTAGTCATTCAAAAATCACGTTAAACACTATTATTGCACACAGAGTGAGTTCATGCAATTTATTATGTGACTTGTTAAGCACATTTTTACTGCTGAACTTATTTAGGCTTGCCATAACAAAGGGGTTGAATACTTATTGACTCAAGACATTTCAGCTTTTCATTGTTTATTAATTTGAAAGTATGGGTATTTTGTGCAGGCCAGTGACAAAATAATCCTGCCATCAATATTTTCCAAGCTATGATACTTTTGATGCTGATATTTCTGTGTGATCTTACAAAACTATGAAATGTGAGAATTGTAATTTTTTTGTGTTGTTGTTTGTCCATAAAAATACAGAGTTCCCCATGTGGAAGTTATCTAGTGTGATATTGTACTGGATGCATTGTTTACTGTATATCTGCTTCCTTTATTCCTCGATATTATTAGATGAATGATAATTCCAATGCAACCCATCATGGGTGTATTCACCAGATCTTAATAATAATTAGAGAAATGAATTTGAACTCTAACTGGCTTTCGTTTGTATGTTTTTGTGGCTTCATATCATAGAAAATGTGACGGGAGATGGGGGCATGCACGCACACGCACATACTACTGTTTATGCCCCCATCTCCCGTCGCTCATTCCCTTCGCTCTCTCTCCTCTCCCTCCAACTCCATCCTCTCCTCTCTCCCAAATCCTCCTCCTCCCTTCCTCTCTCTCCTCTTTCAGACAGTGTTGGCTATACCCTGACCCCTTCGACACACAAGTCAAACCCTGGCTTTACCTGGCCATGTCACTCCTGGGTTTCCTAGCCAACGGCCTGACCCTGCGTGAATTATGGAGGTCGGGGAGGACCCCTACCGTCATCCTGACCCTCAACATGGTGACCTCTGACCTCTTGCTGTGCACCAGCTTACTGTTCCAAGTGGTATACTACCTGAGGGGTCACATCTGGTCTGGAGAGGACAGGGTGTGTAAGGCTGCCATTCTAACCACGATAACTGTCTTCTACATCAACCTCTACTGTAACATTCTCTGGACCAGTGTGACGCGCTACGCCACCGTGGTATGGATGCCTACAACAACAAGTGTTCAAAGTTAAATTGATTGATTTTGAATGAGGTTGTTTTAATTGACCTTTTAATTTTATAAATAAATGTTTTTATAATAAGTTACTCAATTATTCACTCAATTTTGCTCTCAAATCTGTCCCTGGTTGTAGGTGCGGCCTCGCCCCGCCCTCCTCGCGCCCCTCACTAGGCCCAGAGGATGCTGGGTACTCTGCCTCGTCACTTGGGTAACTGTGGTAACGGTGGTGAGTGCCAGTGTGGTACTTTGGTTCGGAGGAGGAAAAGGAAGAGGAGAAGGAGACAGCTGCTTTGACATGTTGGAGAATCACCACAGAAAAGAGTTCAACAACCAACACTGCCTGGGGGTGGTGCTGTTTTTTTGTGATTCTCACCTTTATTCTGGTCAGCTACTGGGGACTAGTGTTGCATCTGCAGAGGATCAGGGGGGCCAGCAACAAACACACCAGTGAAGGAGGGGTAAGGGAGGGGCGGGGGGTGACGGAGGGGATGAGTTGCGGGCAGAGGGAGGGCATGGGGGAGAACAGACGGGGTATAGACTTGGGGGTGCGTTCAGGGCAGGAGAAAGGCAGGGGGTGAAGGGTGGTAGCCTGAGGGTACGAAGGAAGATCCTGGCAGCGGTTGTCATGTTTGTGGTGTGTTTCCTTCCCTACCATGTCCAGCGTGCAGTGACCGTGCTCTCACCACACGGGGCGACTGTGAGAAGGTGAGAACACGACGGAAGGTGTCAAACGCAACCATAACCAGAGCAGCGCTGAGCTGCGTTGTACATCCCTTACTCCATCTGGCCCTGCGCCACCTGCCCTGCTGCAGAAGACGACAATAAGAGATGCATGCATAGACACACAGACAGACAGACACACAGACACACCCACAGCTGTGGGCAACTGTAAGAGGCTGTGGACCACAACTTCTCCCTCTGCTCTCAGTACTGCCTCTCACTGATATAGCACAAACACAGCTGATAATAGTTGTCACATCGAACAAACCACATTAGAATGTAACACTGATCATCTACCAGTAAATACATTTAACACAATACGCTTTATTTTCTCTTCAGCTACATGAGTGTTTCTCAGCAGAAGTCAGTGGGTGAGCATTTAGCTTGTAAAGTGGTCAACCAATGCATGCATGCAAACAGACACACACACAAAGACCTGCACATAGACACAGAAATGCACGCACACGCACACACACACAGCAAAGTAGCACCCCCCCCCAACCCACCCACCAGGGAAGGGTAAATAGAACCTCTATGAGGAGTAGGCCACTACAGAGCGCCCTCCTCTGGACGCATATGATATTACTCTGAATGGTTGAGCGGCATTGGCATCAGCAAATATGGTAAATTAAGCACTGAGTCGAGATAACAGTGAGACAATATGGAGCAAGATTCAAAGCCTTTGCCCACAATAACACCATCTTTGCCAGCAGCATATCACCCTGCATCCCACTGCTGGCTTGCCTCTGAAGCTAAGCAGGGTCGGTCCTAGTCGGTCCCTGGATGGGAGGCCAGATGCTGCTGGAAGTGGGGATGGAGGGTCAGTACGAGGCAGTCTTCCCTCTGGTTTTAAGATCAAAATCCCAATGCCCCAGGGCAGTGATGGGGACATTGCCTTGTTTAGGATGCCGTCTTTCGGATGGGACGTTAAACGGGTGTCCTGACTCTCTGTGGTCACTAAAAATCCCATGGCACTTATCGTAAGAGTAGGGGTCTTAACCCTGGTGTCCTGGTTAAATTCCCATCATGGCCACCTAATCATCTCCCTCATTCCTAATTGGCATATCACTCCTAACCTCTCCACAAGATGTGTTTAGCCCCTCGTGAAGCTCAGTTGGTAGAGCATGGCGTTTGCAACGCCAGGGTTGTGGGTTCGATTCCCACGGGGGGGGGGGGGGCAGTATGAAAATGTATGCACTCACTAACTGTAAGTCGCTCTGGATAAGAGCGTCTGCTAAATGACTAAAATGAAAATGAAAATGAGTGCGCAGGCACAAAATGGTTGCCATGCATCACCCAACACTGGGTTAAAAAACACTCGATTTGGGTAAATATTGGACAAAACACGATGGGCTATTTTGACACAGCAGTTGGGTCACTTAAAGGGATACTTCTGGATTTTGGCAATTTGGCAACTTTATCTACTTTCCCAGAGTCAAACGAAGTTGTGGATACCATTTTTTATGTCTCTGTGTCCAGTATGAAGGAAGATAGAGGTAGTTTCGCGAGCCAATGCTAACTAGTGTTAGCACAATGACTGGAAGTCTATGGGTATGTGCTAGCATGCTAGTAGATACCCATTGACTTCTAATCCTTGTGCTAACACTAGTATTGTCATTGGCCTTGTTTTGGGGTGGAGCTCATTGGAATAATACTCTGCATGCTTTGCAATTGTTAAATTTTACATACACATTTAGTTAATTTAGCAGACAATTATCACACCATAGTACCATCAGACTTTTGATACCAATGTAGTGGAAGGGGGCCACAAAATTGTTAACCGCTATAAAGAAATGGTATAGAAAAGTATTTCATATTTTGAAAATATACATTACGGCTTTCGAAAGTATCTTGTTACAAAATACATTGGGGTGTAGTTCAGCGCAGTGTAATAAAAAATAGAAGTAATTAAAATATGTATTTCAAATACATGTAACAGAAATACTGTCCATCTGGTCATAGCTCAATAACCCAACTAAGTGATCCAACTGCTGGGTCAAAAATAACCCAACGTGTGCACTGTCCACTATTTACCCAGCGCTGGGTTGCTTTTTAACTCAGCATTTTTTTGAGTGTAGTGGGTGCTACACATTGGTGGTGGATGAGGTGAGTTTTCTCCCCTTACAGCGCTTTGAGCATCTGGAATGGCACTATATAAATGCAATCAATTATTATTATTATCAACACAGGATGCGTGAGAGTGAGAAAGAGTCCCACTGAGTGAGGCCTGCGATAGAAAGGTCGTAACAGTCGGAGAGATACACAGCCAGAGAGGTAGACAAAGTTAAAAGGAAATGTTCATGTCTGATGCTAGTCAAAGATTAATATAGCAACAGATGATATACAACAAATGTCTTCAGTCAACCTATCTGTTCACTGGCTCAATGCAACCAGCAACAATCCACAAGGGTAAGATTTATATCTTCATCTACAGTAGGTACCAGGCATAGGCGGCGCGTGAGTGTCAAGTTTGGGGAACCTAATTTTCACCATAGACCTTTATATAATAAAGCATTCCATGCATCATCGCATTTGCAGACTTATGCAAGATAGCCTACTATTCGTAATAAGATTAGTAGATTGGATAGTCATCGTTTAGGCTAATAATATACAGTTGAAGTCAGAAGTTTACATACACTTAGGTTGGAGTCATTAAAACTCGTTTTTGAACCACTCCACAAATTTCTTGTTAACAAACTATAGTTTTGGCAAGTGGGTTAGGACATCTACTTTGTGCATGACACAAGTCATTTTTCCAACAATCACAATTCCAGTGGGTCAGAAGGTTACACACAGTAAGTTGACTGTGCCTTTAAAATTCCAGAAAATGATGTCATGGCATTAGAAGCTTCTGATAGGCTAATTGACATCATTTGAGTCAATTGGAGGTGTACCTGTGGATGTATTTCAAGGCCTACCTTCAAACTCAGTGCATCTTTGCTTGACATCATGGGAAAATCAAAAGAAATCAGCCAAGACCTCAGAAATTAAATTGTAGCCCTCCACAAGTCTGGTTAATTCTTGGGAACAATTTCCAAATGCCTGAAGGTACCACGTTCATCTGTACAAACAAAAGTACGCAAGTATAAACACCATGGGACCACGCAGCCGTCATACTGTTCAGGAAGGAGACACGTTCTGTCTCCTAGAGATGAACGTACTTTGGTGCGAAAAGTGGAAATCAATCCCAGAACAACAGCAAAGGACCTTGTGAAGATGCTGGAGGAAACAGGCATAAAGGTATCTATATACACAGTAAAACGAGTCCTATATCGACATAACCTGAAAGGCCACTCAGCAAGGAAGAAGCCACTGCTCCAAAACTGCCATTAAACTCTAACTGTTTTAAATCCCCACCATGCTCAAAGGGTTATTCTGTTTTTAAAAAAAAATTTTTTTAACCCATCTACCAATAGGTGCCAGTCTTTGCGAGGCACTGGAAAACCTCCCTGGTTTTTGTGGTTGAATCTGTGTTTGAAATTCCCTGTTTGAGGGGCCTTCCAGATCATTCTATATGTGGGTTACAGAGATGAGGTAGTCATTCAAAAATCATGTTAAACACTATTATTGCACACAGAGTGAGTCCATGCAATTTATTATGTGACTTGTTAAGCACATTTTTACTGCTGAACTTATTTAGGCTTGCCATAACAAAGGGGTTGAATACTTATTGACTACTTATTGACTCAAGACATTTCAGCTTTTCATTGTTTATTAATTTTGTGCAGGCCAGTGATAAAATATTCCTGCCATCAATACTTTCCAAGCTATGATACTTTTGATGCTGATATTTCTGTGTGATCTTACAAAACTATAAAATGTGAGAATTGTAATTTTTTTGTGTTGTTGTTTGTCCATAAAAATACAGAGTTCCCCATGTGGAAGTTATCTAGTGTGATATTGTACTGGATGCACTGTTTACTGTATATCTGCTTCCTTTATTCCTCGATATTATTAAATGAATGATAATTCCAACGCAACCCATCCTGGGTGTTTTCACCAGATCTTAATAATAATTAGAGAAATGAATTTGAACTCTAACTGGCTTTCGTTTGTATGTTTTTGTGGCTTCATGTCATAGAAAATGTGACGGGAGATGGGGGCATGCACGCACACGCATGCGCACACACACAAAAAGTTATCACTACTGTTTATGCCCCCATCTCCCGTCGCTCATTCCCTTCTCTCTCTCTCTCTCCCTCCAACTCCATCCTCCTTCTCTCCTCTCTCCCAAATCCTCCTCCTCCCTTCCTCTCTCTCCTCTTTCAGACAGTGTTGGCTATACCCTGACCCCTTCGACACACAAGTCAAACCCTGGCTCTACCTGGCCATGTCACTCTTGGGTTTCCTAGCCAACGGCCTGACCCTGCGTGAATTATGGAGGTCGGGGAGGACCCCTACCGTCATCCTGACCCTCAACATGGTGACCTCTGACCTCTTGCTGTGCACCAGCTTACTGTTCCAAGTGGTATACTACCTGAGGGGTCACATCTGGTCTGGAGAGGACAGGGTGTGTAAGGCTGCCATTCTAACCACGATAACTGTCTTCTACATCAACCTCTACTGTAACATGATGCTGCTTCTCTGGACCAGTGTGACGCGCTACGCCACCATGGTATGGATGCCTACAACAACAAGTGTTCAAAGTTAAATTGATTGATTTTGAATGAGGTTGTTTTAATTTACCTGTACATTTTTTTAATAAATGTTTTTATAATAAGTTACTCAATTAATTATTCAATTTTGCTCTCAAATCTTTCCCTGGTTGTAGGTGCGGCCTCGCCCCGCCCTCCTCGCGTCCCTCACTAGGCCCAGAGGATGCTGGGTACTCTGCCTCGTCACCTGGGTAACGGTGGTGAGTGCCAGTGTGGTACTTCAGTTCAGAGGAGGAAAAGGAAGAGGAGACAGCTGCTTTGACATGTTGGAGAATCACCACAGAAAAGAGTTCAACAACCAACACTGCCTGGGGGTGGTGCTGTTTTTCGTGATTCTCACCTTTATTCTGGTCAGCTACTGGGGACTAGTGTTGCATCTGCAGAGGATCAGGGGGGCCAGCAACAAACACACCAGTGAAGGAGGGGTAAGGGAGGGACAGAGGGGGTGAGTTGCGGGCAGAGGGAGTGCATGGGGGAGAACAGACGGGGTATAGACTTGGGGGTGCGTTCAGGGGCAGGAGAAAGGCAGGGGGTGAAGGGTGGTAGCCTAAGGGTACGAAGGAAGATCCTGGCAGCGGTTGTCATGTTTGTGGTGTGTTTCCTTCCCTACCATGTCCAGCGTGCAGTGACCGTGCTCTCACCACACGGGGGCGACTGTGAGAAGGTGAGAACACGACGGAAGGTGTCAAACGCAACCATAACCAGAGCAGCGCTGAGCTGCGTTGTACATCCCTTACTCCATCTGGCCCTGTGCCACCTGCCCTGCTGCAGAAGACGACAATAAGAGATGCATGCATAGACACACAGACAGACAGACACACAGACACACCCACAGCTGTGGGCAACTGTAAGAGGCTGTGGACCACAACTTCTCCCTCTGCTCTCAGTACTGCCTCTCACCGATATAGCACAAACACAGCTGATAATAGTTGTCACATCGAACAAACCACATTAGAATGTAACACTGATCATCTTTATAATAAAGCATTCCATGCATCATCGCATTTGCAGACTTATGCAAGATAGCCTACTATTCGTAATATGATGAGTAGATTGGACAGTCATGGACAGTCAACCCTGCCATACCAGATATTTCTTCTTTCTATAGACCATACCAGATATGTTTCTTCATTCTATAGACCATACCAGATATGTTTCTTCATTCTATAGACCATACCAGATATGTTTCTTCATTCTATAGACCATACCAGATATGTTTCTTCATTCTATAGACCATACCAGATATGTTTCTTCATTCTATAGACCATACCAGATATGTTTCTTCATTCTATAGACCATACCAGATATGTTTCTTCATTCTATAGACTATACCAGATATGTTTCTTCATTCTATAGACCATACCAGATATGTTTCTTCATTCTATAGACCATACCAGATATGTTTCTTCATTCTATAGACCATACCAGATATGTTTCTTCATTCTATAGACCATACCAGATATGTTTCTTCATTCTATAGACCATACCAGATATGTTTCTTCATTCTATAGACCATACCAGATATGTTTCTTCATTCTATAGACCATACCAGATGTTTCTTCTTTCTATAGACCATACCAGATATTTCTTCTTTCTATAGACCATACCAGATGTTTCTTCTTTCTATAGACCATACCAGATGTTTCTTCTTTCTATAGACCATACCAGATGTTTCTTCATTCTATAGACCATACCAGATGTTTCTTCATTCTATAGACCATACCAGATGTTTCTTCATTCTATAGACCATACCAGATGTTTCTTCATTCTATAGACCATACCAGATAGGTTTCTTCTTTCTTTGCACAGGAAAAATGTAGCCTTTTATAAACACATTTCATGCAATTCTACTACACTTTATATGACTGGAGACAATAGCAGAATGTTTTTTAATTATGACAAATTACAGGGTCGCCTACTCTGCTGACAATGACAAACAGATCAATAAAAAAAACGTTGTCCATATAATAGGCCTACGAGAAGGGGAGACACAAATAGAATATGACGTCCATCTAAACAGGAAGAGGAAATGATTGTACAAAAACTAACCTAAGTGGCAATAACCAATCAATGATCGAGTGAATATGCGCAGTGCGCAATCACCCGGGATATTGCCGATGCTCTCCGCTGGTGCCAATAAAATAGGCTATAATAGGTTACTGTTGTTCGCTCATTTAAGTTGAGATCTTTGATAACTAAAAGACTGATTATAGTATTTTCATTGTCTTCTCTTTATAGCAATAACCATTTGCTTTTCAAACTATGTTTTACCGCGATTGTATTTTGAAATATTGTGATATTTCCCAACTCAATCATGTATTTGGTATTTGCTGCGCGTGCTGCTCAAATTGCGCGCGCTGCCTTTACTTCCGACTGTAGTCAATGCGATTTAAAACAATCCACAACTTATTTTTTTGAAATAAACTATTGATCCTGTGCCCAAGTCATGCTTTAGTAGCCTTTTTTGAATGATTGTATTTATTACTGTATAGACAGGAGTAGGCTAATTAGGCTATATAATTTTGGCAATTTACTTTAGGGAAAGTTTAGCTTCCCCAAGCCTTATGGATGCACTGCCTATGGTACCAGGGCGTCATGCACCCGAAACAGCCTTTTCCTGCAGCCTAGAGCCATAATCATTATGCCTAATTCTATGTAAATATATATGTTACATTTTCTGCATAGGTTATCTAAGCATACCTTTTTACCTTTTTTATTTATTCATCAAAAAAAGAATCAATAGGCTACATAACTTGATCAAATTAATTTACAAACATACCTCCTGCGAGTCCTGCCCATCACCGGCAGCTAAAATCAAATCAAACGTTGTTTATGTCACTCAACACTCTCTCTCCTCCTCCACTGACGATACTGTCTGCTGCATGCACTAGAGCAGGGGTGTCAAACTCATTTTAGCTCAGGGGCCACATGGAGGAAAATCTATTCCCAAGTGGGCCGGACCGGAAAAATCATGGTATATATAACTTAAAAACAACAACTTCAGATTGTTTTCTTTGTTTTAATACGATCAACATACAACATAAAGCTGGAGCCTGAGGACAGTGTGTCCAAAATAGTACAAGCACAACATCACTATTAATCATAAAACACGTCAAGTTTATTTGAAAATTCTAAAGAAAAAGAACACACAATGCCTCAGTGATTAACAGAACTGTTTCACAGATCACAGAACTATATCAGGGTGTCATTTCTCAGGCAGAAATGTAGATAAAAATAATGAAATCCTGTTCCCCAAACAAGTGCAAGAACCACAGAGTCAAGAATAGGTTAAATATACAAAGAAAATAAAATCAATTAAAAACAATAGCACATCAACATAAAAACATATAAACATAAAGCTGGAGCCTGAGGACAGTGTCCAAAAGCACAACATCACTATTAATCATAAAACACCTCAAGTTATTTGAAAGTTCTGAGGACAAAGAACACACAAACACACAATGCCTCAGTGATTCACAGAAGTATATCACAGAACTATATCAGGGTGTCATTTCTCAGGCAGAAATGTAGATAAAAATAATGAAATCTTGTTCCCCAAACAAGAGCAAGAACCACAGAGTCAAGAATAGGTTAAATATACAAATAAAATAAAATCAATTAAAAACAATAGCACATCAACATAAAAACATATAAACATAAATCTGAAAGCATTGCTCAAACTCCCGTAACAGTCCAGTTATTTTATCTTTGAACCGCTTCATGTCTGCCACATGTTGGGTCGCGCACACATTTTTCAGACAGGGGAAGTGAGCTGCATCACCACCGGCAAGTTGCGTCTCCCACAATGACAGCTTCAACTTGAAAGAACGTATGCTGTCATAATACTGCGTGACAACTTTGTTGCGCCCTTGCAGCTGTTTGTTCAAGTTATTCAGGTGCTCTGTAACATCCACCATAAATGCAAGGTCCGGCATCCATTCTGCGGAATGAAATTCTAACACTGGTTTGCCCTTTTCTTCCATGAACTGTTCAATTTCTTCTCGTAAATCAAAGAAACGCCTCAGCACAGCACCTCGGCTTAACCATCTTACCTCAGTGTGGTATGGCAGGCCATAGATGTGGTCTTTCTCTCTGAGAAGGCTGTCAAACTGACGGTGATTCAGGCTTCTGGATCGGATGAAATTAACAGTTTGGATGACCACCTTCATGACGTTATCCATCTTTAATGACTTGCAACACAAAGCCTCCTGGTGCAAAATACAGTGAAAAGTCAAAAAATCACGTCCTCCATTTGCAGATTGCACTTTCTCTCTGAACTTTGTCACAACGCCTGCTTTTTTCCTGATCATTGAGGGCGCACCATCTGTAGCCAGGCTGACAGCGCGGGACCAGTCCACTCCGACCCTGTCCAGCGCGCCGACGAGTGCGGTAAAAATATCAGCTGCTGTCGTTGTGTCTGTCATCGGCACCAACTCCACGAACTCCTCAGTGACAGTCAATGTGTCATCAACTCCGCGGATGAAAAAATGGCCAGTTGTGCAACATCTGTAATGTCCGTGCTTTCATCAATTGCAACCGAAAACGCAATAAATGACTTTACTTTTTGCTTCAACTGGCTGTCCAAATCCACTGAAAGATCGGAAATCCTGTCTGCAACTGTGTTTCTTGTCAGGCTGATATTTGCAAAAGCCTGCCGCTTTTCAGGGCACACAATCTCCGCTGCCTTCATCATGCATGTTTTTACAAATTCACCCTCACTAAATGGTTTTGAAGCCACTGCGATTTCATTAGCAATGAGGTAGCTAGCTTTCACTGCAGCGTCACTGATGTCTCGGCTGTGAGTAAACACAGACTGCTGTTTCTTCAGACCCGCCAACAGTTCATTCACCTTCTCTCATCTCCGCTGTCCTTGAAAGTTGTCATATTTGTCGGCATGAAGACTCACATAGTGGCGACGAAGGTTATATTATTTCAGCACTGCAACATGCTCTGAACACACCAAACATACAGCTTTCCCATTCAATTCCGTGATTAAATAGGATGACCATTTTTCTTGGAACACTCTGCACTCTGCGTCCACTTTTCTCTTTTTTGACAGAGACATATTGGGGCAATGAGGGTGCCAAAGCACATAATGTTAAAAGTAGAAGCCGTAATAAATATCGCGGGCAAAACAAAGTAGCTCATTGGCTGCACGTGCCTGACCTACTTGCTCTGCCCCGGTATAAACAGTTTGCTTGCTTAACACAATTGCTATTGCGCCATCCAGTGGACGCAATTGGAACAGCAGTTTATTTTATTGATAAATTGCAGCGCATTTTTATACTTAAAAAAAAAAAAAAAAAAAAAAATAACTTATTTTTTTAATTTTTTTAAATCATCTCGCGGGCCGGATTAAACCCGTTTGTGGGCCTGATCCGGCCCGCGGGCCGTACGTTTGACACCCCTGCACTAGAGTATATAGCATCCTGCCTAGCATATCTATGCCCCATGGTGCACTTTGGAAGGAAACACTTACTAGGGAAAATAGGGGGGGGGGGGGGGGGGGGGGGGGTTACTCTTTGCTTGTCCAGTCAGTGTGCCCCCTCCGCAAAATAAAGCTGACAGATATTTTTATAAAAAATTACGATAAAACACGGGCTTAAAAATGAAGTTTAGTAATTCATTTAACATCTGCAAATCTTTAAAACAGGACAAATCTGAGGGGACATGATGCCAAAGGTAGGTAATTAGTACAAATTATGAAATGTGTGTTTTGTTGTTTTGTTTGTGGGGTTGTTTGTTAATAGAAAGTTTAAGTTCCCCATGTGGAAGTTATCTAGTGTGATATTGCATTGGATGCATTGTTTACTGTACAGTGGCTTGCGAAAGCATTCACCCCCTTTGCCATTTTTCCTATTTTGTTGCCTTACAACCTGGAAATAAAATAGATTTTGGGGGGGGTTTGTATCATTTGATTTACACAACATGCCTACCACTTTGAAGATGCTAAATATTTTGTTTGTGAAACAAACAAGAAATAAGACCAAAAAACTGAACTTGAGCGTGAATAACTATTGAAAAACATCCCCACAGCATGGTGTTCTCAGGGTGATGAGAGGTGTTGGGTTTGCGCCAGACATAGTGTTTTCCTTGATGGCCAAAAAGCTCAATTTTTGTCTCATCTGACCAGAGTACCTTCTTCCATATGTTTGGGGAGTCTCCCACATGCTTTTTGGCGAACACCAAACGTGTTTGCTTATTCTTTTCTCTAAGCAATGGCTTTTTTTCTGGCCACTCTTCCGTAAAGCCCAGCTCTGTGAAGTGTACGGCTTAAAGTGGTCCTATGGACAGATACTCCAATCTCCGCTGTGGAGCTTTGCAGCTCCTTCAGGGTTATCTTTGGTCTCTTTGTTGCCTCTCTGATTAATGCCCTCCTTGCCTGGTCCGTGAGTTTTGGTGGGCGGCCCTCTCTTGGCAGGTTTGTTGTGGTGCCATATTCTTTCCATTTTTTAATAATGGATTTAATGGTGCTCCGTGGGATGTTCAAAGTTTCTGATATTTTTTTTATAACCCAACCCTAATCTGTACTTCTCCCAAACTTTGTCCCTGACCTGTTTGGAGAGCTCCTTGGTCTTCATGTTGCCACTTGCTTGGTGGTGCCCCTTGCTTAGTGGTGTTGCAGACTCTGGGGCCTTTCAGAACAGGTGTGTATACATACTGAGATCATGTGACAGATCATGTGACACTTAGATTGCACACAGGTGGACTTTATTTAACTAATTATGTGACTTCTGAAGGTAATTGGTTGCACCAGATCATATTTAGGGGCTTCATAGCAAAGGGGGTGAATACATATGCACCCACCACTTTACCGTTATTTACTTTATAGATTATTTTTTTGTTGTTGAAAAATTAGACTATTTTGTGTATGTCCATTACATGAAATCCAAATAAAAATTCATTTAAATTACAGGTTGTAATGCAACAAAATATGAAAAATGCCAAGGGGGATGAATACTTTTGCAAGGCACTGTATATCTGCTTCCTTTATTCCTTGATATTATTAAATGAATGATAATTCCAAAGCAACCCATCCTGGGTGTTTTCACCAGATCTTAATAATAATTAGAGAAATTAATTTGAACTCTAACTGGCTTTCGTTTGTATGTTTTTGTGGCTTCGTGTCGTAGAAAATGCGACTGGAGATGGGGGCATGCACGTACGCATGCGCACACACTCAAAAAGTTATCACTACTGTTTATGCTCCGATCTCCCGTCGCTCATTCCCTTCTCTCTCTCTCTCTCCCTCCAACTCCATCCTCCTTCTCTCCTCTCTCCCAAATCCTCCTCCTCCCTTCCTCTCTCTCCTCTTTCAGACAGTGTTGGCTATACCCTGACCCCTTCGACACACAAGTCAAACCCTGGCTCTACCTGGCCATGTCACTCTTGGGTTTCCTAGCCAACGGCCTGACCCTGCGTGAATTATGGAGGTCGGGGAGGACCCCTACCGTCATCCTGACCCTCAACATGGTGACCTCTGACCTCTTGCTGTGCACCAGCTTACTGTTCCAAGTGGTATACTACCTGAGGGGTCACATCTGGTCTGGAGAAGACAGGGTGTGTAAGGCTGCCATTCTAACCACGATAACTGTCTTCTACATCAACCTCTACTGTAACATGATGCTGCTTCTCTGGACCAGTGTGATGCGCTACGCCACCGTGGTATGGATGCCTACAACAAGTGTTCAAACTTAAATTGAATGATTTTGAATGAGGTTGTTTTAATTGACCGGTTAATTTTTAAATAAATGTTTTTATAATAAGTTACTCAATTAATCACTCAATTTTGCTCTCAAATCTTTCCCTGGTTGTAGGTGCGGCCTCGCTCCGCCCTCCTTGCGCCCCTCACTAGGCCCAGAGGATGCTGGGTACTCTGCCTCGTCACCTTGGTAACTGTGGTAACGATGGTGAGTGCCAGTGTGGTACTTCGGTTTGGAGGAGGAAAAGGAAGAGGAGACAGCTGCTTTGACATGTTGGAGAATCACCACAGAGAAGTGTTAAACAACCAACACTGCCTGGGGGTGGCCCTGTTTTTTGTGATTCTCACCTTTACTCTGGTCAGCTATGGTGGACTAGTGTTGTATCTGCAGAAGGTCAGGGGGTCCAAGAACACAAACACCAATGAAGGAGGGGTAAGGGAGGGACAGAGCGTGAGTACAGGGGTGAGGGGTGGTAGCCTGAGGGTACGAAGGAAGATCCTAGCTATGGTTGTGGTGTTTGTGGCGTGTTTCCTGCCCTACCATGTCCAGCGTGCAGTGACCTTGCTCTCACCACACGGTGAAGACTGTGAGAAGGTGAGAACACGATGGAAGGCGAAGAATGCAACCATAACCAGAGCAGCGCTGAGCTGCATTGTACATCCCTTACTCCATCTGGCCCTGCGCCACCTGCCCTGCTGCAGAAGACGACAATAAGAGATACATGCACAGACAGACAGAATGACCCACCCACCCACCCACCGACCGACCCACCGCTGTGGGTAACTGTAAGAGGCTGTGGACCACAACTTCTCCCTCTGCTATCAGCCTAGCTAGCATATTTGGTTCCTTGGAAGTTGTGGGAACATATGTTTTTGGTTTCACATTGGTTGTGGGAACGAAGCCATACGTTTCCTTACTGGTAAAACTGAACTTTTTTTTTAGACGTTCTGAGAACAGAAGTGAACATTTTCTGGGAATGTTTAACACTCTGAGAACAGAAATTATAGGTTATTTTACAGATAGGACACATGGAAATTAATTTCCTTAGGCATTAATCATGCAAATATATATTTTTTATTGTGACACGGCATCAGTGAGATTCAAACCTATAATCTTCTGTTCTCTATCCATATAATTAGTTAACTGCACCATCAGGGTGGAGCTAGCATGCAAAAGAAAATTAAGCATACAAAGCTGTTAATTTTAGTCTATTCAAACAGACCCCCTTTCAAAGGAAACAAGAACTCATTAAGATCAGTTGTGGCCAATTAGTGGGCGCGGCCAACACACCTAAACACACTTAATAAAACAGAGGATAAAGAGAGTCTGTTGATGCCGAGAACGGAATGTATTTTTTATTATACAACGGATGGGTCTAATCCTGAATGCTGATTGGTTAAAACCGCATTCCAGCCGGTGTCTATTCCACCCAACACACCTATAGGCTGTGTAAGGCCTATTTTACAAAGAAGGAGAGTGATGAGTGATGCATCAGATGACCTGGCCTCCACAATCGCCCGACCTCAACCAAATTGAGATGGTTTGGGATGAGTCGGACCGCAGAGTGAAGGAAAAGCAGCCAACAAGCGCTCAGCATATGTGGGAACTCCTTCAAGGCTGTTGGAAAAGCATTCCAGGTGAAGCTGGTTGAGAGAATGTGAAGAGTGTGCAAAGCTGTCATCAAGGCAAAGGGTGGCTATTTGAAGAATCTCAAATATAAAATATATTTTGATTTGTTTAACACCTTTTTGGTTACTACAGTTGAAGTCGGAAGTTTACATACACCTTAGCCAAATACATTTATACTCAGTTTTTCACAATTCCTGACATTTAATCCTAGTAAAAATTCCCTGTCTTAGGTCAGTTAGGATCACCACTTTATTTTGTGAAATGTCAGAATAATAGTAGAGAGAATGATTTATTTCAGCTTTTATTTCTTTCAACACATTCCCAGTGGGTCAGAAGTTTACGTACACTCAATTAGTATTTGGTAGCATTGCCTTTAAATTGTTAAACTTGGGTCAAACGTTTCGGGTAGCCTTCCACAATAAGTTGAGTGAATTTGGCCCATTCCTCCTGACAGAGCTGGTGTAACTGAGTCAGGTTTGTAGGCCTCCCTCCATAAGCCATTTTGCCACAACTTTGGAAGTATGCTTGGGGTCATTGTCCATTTGGAAGACCCATTTGCGACCAAGCTTTAACTTCCTGACTGATGTCTTGAGATGTTGCTTCAATATATCCACATTATTTTTCTTCCTCATGATGCCATCTATTTTGTGAAGTGCACCAGTCCCTCCTGCAGCATGATGCTGCCACCCCCGTGCTTCATGGTTGGGATGGTGTTCTTCGGCTTGCAAGCAACCCCCTTTTTCCTCCAAATATAACAATGGTAATTATGGCCAAACAGTTCTATTTTTGTTTCATCAGACCAGAGGACATTTCTCCAAAAAGTACGATCTTTGTCCCCATGTGCAGTTGCAAACTGTAGTCTGGCTTTTTTATGGCGGTTTCGGAGCAGTGGCTTCTTCCTTGCTGAGCGGCCTTTCAGGTTATGTCGATATAGGACTCGTTTTACTGTGGATATAGATACTTTTGTACCTGTTTCCTCCAGCATCTTCACAAGGTCCTTTGCTGTTGTTCTGGGATTGATTGCACTTTTCCTAATCTCTAGGAGACAGAACACCTCTCCTTCCTGAGCGGTATGACGGCTGCTTGGTTCCATGGAGTTTATACTTGCGTACTATTGTTTGTACAGATGAACGTGGTACCTTCAGGCGTTTGGAATGATGAACCAGACTTGTGGAGGTCTTGGCTTATTTCTTTAGATTTTCCCATGATGTCAAGCAAAGAGGCACTGAGTTTGAAGGTAGGCCTTGAAATACATCCAAGTACACCTCCAATTGACTCAAATGATGTCAATTAGCCTATCAGAAGCTTCTAAAGCCATGACATCATTTTCTGGAATTTTACAAGCTGTTTAAAGGCACAGTCAACTTAGTGTATGTAAACTTCTGACCCACTGGAATTGTGATACAGTGAATTATAAGTGAAATAATCTGTCTGTAAACAATTGTACACAAAATTACTTGTGTCATGCACAAAGTAGATGTCCTAACCGACTTGCCAAAACTATAGTTTGTTAACAAGAAATTTGTGGAGTGGTTCAAAAACTAGTTTTAATAACTCCAACCTTAGTGTATGTAAACTTCCGACTTCAACTGTACATGATTCCATATGTGTTATTTCATAGTTTTGATGTCTTCACTATTATAAAAAAATGACAGAAAGCCTGTACAGAATAAAAAATATTTCAAAACATGCATCCTGTTTGCAATAAGGCACTAAAGTAAAACTGCAAAAATAATTGGCTAAGAAATTAACTTTATGTCTTGAATACAAAGCGTTATGTTTGGGGCAAATCACTGAGTACCACTCTTCATATTTTCAAGCTGTCATGCCCTGACCTATAGTACTCTTGTTTGTTGAGTCAGGGTGTGGAAATCTATGTTATATATTCTATGTTTAGGTTCTAGTTAGTATATTTCTATGTCTGGCCGGGTATGATGAGGCAGCTGTCGCTCATTGTCTCTGATTGGGGATCATACTTAGGTAGCCCATTGCCTACTGTGTATTGTGGGATCTTGTTCCTGTTAGGCCGGTATGTGTGTAGCCCTTTGGACTTCACGTTACGTTGTTTCTTGTTTTGTTGTATGTTTATTGAGGTAATAAACATGTACGCTTTTCACGCTGCACCTTGGTCCAACCCGTCTCTCAATGTTCGTGACACAAGCATGGTGGTGGCTGCACCATGCTATGGGTATGCTTGTAATCGTTACGGACTGGGCTGTTTTTCAGGATAAAAAAGAAATGGAATGGAGCTAAGCACAGGCATAATCCTAGAGGAAAACCTGGTTCAGTCTGCTTTCCACCAGACACTGGGAGATGAATTCACCTTTCAGCAGGAAAATAACCTAAAACACAAAGCCAAAATATACACTGGAGTTGCTTACCAAGATGACACTGAATGGCCTAGTTACAGTTTTGACTTAAAATCGGCTTGAAAATCTATGGCGAGAATTGAAAATGGTTGTCTAGCAATGATCAACTTGACAGAGCTTGAAGAATAAAAAAATTAAATAATGGGCAAATATTGTACAATCCAGGTGTGCAAAGCTCTTAGAGACTTACCCCAAAAGACTCTCAGCTGTAAACGCTGCCAAAAGTGCTTCTACAAAGTATTGACTCAGGGGTGTGAATACTTATGTAAATTAGATATTTCTGTATTTTTGCCAACATTTCTAAAAACATGTTTTCACTTTGTCAGCATGGGGTATTGTGTGTAGATGGGGGAGATTATTTATTTATTTATTTATTTACATTTTGAATTCAGGCTGTAACACATCAAAACGTGATATACAGTGCATTTGGAAAGTATTCAGACCCCTTCCCTTTTTCCACAATTTGTTACGTTACAGCTTTATTCTAAAATTGATTAAATTGTTTTTTTTCCTCATCAATCTACATAGTGATGAATCACGCTTCACCATCTAGCAGTCCCGATGGACAAATCTGGGTTTGGCAGATGCCAGGAGAACATAACGTTTGGTGGAGGAGGAATAATGGTCTGGGGCTGTTTTTCATGGTTCGGGCTAGGCCCCTTAATTCCAGGGAAGGGAAATCTTAACGCTACAGCATACAATGACATTCTAGACAATTCTGTGCTTCCAACTTTGTGGCAACAGTTTGGGGAAGGCCCTTTCCTGTTTCAGCATGACAATGCCCTGGTGCACAAAGCAAGGTCCATACAGAAATGGTTTTTCGAGATTGGTGTGATAGAACTTGACTTGCCTACACAGAGCCCTGACCTCAAACCCATCGAACACCGTTGGGATGAATTGGAACGCCGACTGCGAGCCAGGCCTAATTGCCCAACATCTGTGCCCAACCTCACTAATGCTCGTGGCTGAATGGAAGCAAGTCCCCGCAGCAATGTTCCAACATCTAGTAGAAAGTGTTCCCAGAAGAGTGGAGGCTGTTATAGCAGCACAGGGGGGACCAACTCCATATTAATGCCCTGATTTTGGAATGAGATGGTCGACGAGCAGATGTCCATATACTTTTGGTCATGTAGTGTATTGCCGGTATTGAAATTTGGTAGATTTTCTGGAAGATATTAATCCCTATTACTGAATGTGTGGCTGTTTTAAGTTGAACTAAAAAAGGACCAACAATAATGAACACTATAATGCATTTGGCCATTAAAATCAAACATTTCTCAAAAAGATACTTGTTGATTTAGACTTTTCGGATACTGCTTGAGGGCCACTTAATTAGTATACAGTAATTACAGAACAAGGTAATCAAAACACAGAATGTGAATAGGTACAAATGAAACAAATAACCATGTCATGTTTTTGCTTGGTTTTGTGGTGAACAGAACAATACAACACCTTTGTTGTCAGTATTCGAATCAGTAAAAAAGAAGAACTGTTCATATGGGAACTTCAATATAAAGAAAGGTCTGCTCATTGTTTGCTGATCTCAAATGTGGTTTTTACTAATATCTATTATCTTAGTGATACAAGAAGTGGCACCATGTTTATAGCCATATTGGTTATCTACCTCCGGTGCTACATTCGTATATAATACTTCCAGTCTCTGCTAGTCTCACAGATCGATGGAGAACACATCCCAAACCTTCCCATCTGTGTCTA